AAATAATTCAACCTGGCCAGCACAGTTGACAAAGTACTCGCACTGAATTCGCCCTCTGTCAGTCTCGACTCCAGTCACTCGACCCTTCTGGACTGTGATGTGACTGACAGTTGTCCGTTCATGAATCTGGACACCTGGAGAGGACATCAGGAAGTCAGTATGCCATGAGCCTTCTTTTTAATGTGTCAGACTGTTAGCTTTGAAACCTGATGCTCCACCAAAATGCTCATTTTCTCTTTGAGACAAAATTACTACTCTTGACCCAGTAATTCTTAAGTGAAACCCTGTTATTTGTAAAACATCACATATACAATTTGTACAGGCTGAGACTGTGAAGAGCTACAGTTTTTTCTCCATGTGACAATCTGGGTGATAGATAGATCCCCACTATCAACAACATAAAAAAAGAGTCCCAACTATGGATTTCTTTCCATTACAATTCCTTTATGCAACAAAGTCCATAGTTTCACATGGCATGATTGGTTCTCTTGTGGGAAATCAGTCATTTTGAGGAGCAAATCAAAAAGCAGTATGCAAAAAAAGACCTGGGTTAAAAGAAACTAAGAGAGATACCTTCCGAAGCAGCTTCTTCCAGTCTGATGGACTTTCATCCTTAATGACCTTTATTCTCTGTTATCATATCTAACCTTTCTCCCACTTTTAGACCACTCCAAATTTGCCAAAGTGCTAGGCAAACAGCATTCATCATTACATTTCCAAWCCCATTTCCAAAGCATATATGCCCAAATACATATTCCACAAGCCTCAGTCATACCTTTTCATTTGTAGGTAATTAACTATTTTGATGTGTAATTGTAAGTCAATTATAGGAAGGAAAAGTGTGTGCTTTTCCAGAAAAATACACAACCACTAAGGACAGCAAACAGGTGCTTGATCTATCACAAAAAATCTGTATGGGTTCAGCATGTAAAAAAAATTCAGCCTGTTTTTTTCAGAAAAAAACAGGTTTAAAGAATCTGAACTTTACAGAAACAACAATTTTGCTCTTCAGTGCTCAGTTAAAATATCAAAAGAGATGCAGAACTTAATTTTCTTTTATGGAAAGAAGGTAGCTATCATGCAGGAGAGCACTCTGTAGATAAAAAAAGCTCCTACCATTCCGTGAGGCAGCRGTTGCCAGAGCCAGACTCACATTGGCAGATGACACAAGTGCATCTTCTGGTACATACATGGCCCCCACAAGGTCATGGATGTTGATTAGTGGGTGGAGCTGCAGCACTTTCTTTGGGCTGATAATTTCACATGGTATCCCCATTACACTGCCACAGAACATAAGAAACACAGTGTCATTTGTCTTGCAGGAGAGCTGGTGCACACTGAAGCCGAGTTGTATTTCCTGTCATACGTACTTCAGCGATGAAGCAATGCGCTTCAGAGAGATCAGTCGGTCCTGAGTCTGAGCCAGGGAAATAGAGCCTGTCTTCATGTACCCTATGACAATGACCAAAGTCAAGTCAGATTTGGACAAGATCTTCAATTCCTTTCCATCTCAGACTCATTGCTGTAATATAATTGTTGCTTTCAAGCCTGTTGCTTTCACTACTCAGGAGCCTGGAAATTCCAYACCCTCAAATAACTTTAAACAGTTATCAGCTAGTAATTAAAAAGTGCATGAGAGAACTTTTCAAAAAAGCAATTTAATTTTTAATTGTGTTCTCTTTACACTTCATATGTTCATGTTTATTAAAAAAAAGCCCAGATTTCACACATGGTACCTATTAAAAGAGAGAGAAGTTACTGGCCAAAAAATAACCTAATTAACTACTCAGAGGAATAAAACTTCAACAACTAAAAGCAGATATTTTGTGATTTTAACACTTGCATTAAATTAGTATTCATCTTAATTGCAGGCACAGTTATTGAGYCTGACATACATTGAGTCTGACATACATCACAAATTATTGTCAGCAGAAAACGTTCAGTGACCAAGTTCTTCCTATCAGGTACATGCCCAAACATTTTGGAGAGAGAAGGAGAATTTCAACCATCTTTTTTTGTTATTTCCAGGGCTAGGCTACAGTGAGAAACACAGCTTTGCCTATGCTTCAGTGCTCCTGTTAACCACCTTCTCTTTTTGAGAAGAATGGGCCAATTTGCTCCAGTCACTGCGACATATTTACCATGTCCTTGTAAAAATTTCCTGTGTGCAAGTTACAGACAACATGCAAAATGTCACAATTTGCAGGTAGTCYGCTTTCAGTTTTCCCATCTTCTTCTTCCCATTCTCATTACATTAGTGACATCCCTTAGTGACACCTGATTCAGTCCGTATGTTTTGTTTTTCAACAGGACTATCAAACCTTTAGACACCGTGAAACTGCACTCATATTTCAGKGCCAGTACTTCAATTCAGHTTTCCAAAGATTACTCAGTGATGAYGCTTTCAGTACCTGTTTGCACTCCTGTCTCCTGTTCCAGCTGCTGGTAGAGCTTGTTTGAATAGTGTGCCATCTTCAGCTCTACGGACATGGGCCTGGCTGTGCTCACAATGCCGGCACAGAAGCGAGTGGTACCAGCAGCCAACCTGCRGGAGAAGGTGCAGAGAAGGGCCTCATACAGCTGCCAGGTACACATCCTCACCAGGCTGTTCCAGGCTGCTCCACGGCAGCACAAACCYGACAGCAACTTCTCCCTCAAACACATCAGAGCAACACTTCAAGTTGGACGATGCAAGGATGACACAACATCTAGAATGTTTTTGCTTCCGCTCATTTTCGAACACACATTGCATTCCAAGACAATTTCTCTTTAACGAGTCCTAAACATCAACATTTTTCAAAGAAAGCATTTTTCTTATACTTAAGCTGAGCTGCCTGATTTTTTCCTCCTCCAAAGCAGGAWTTCCCTCAAACCAAAATTAACTTGGTTTTGAGTCTTGCTCTTTGAAGATTACAGTACAAGCAAGTCACTCTCACTTTGTAACAACTGCTACAGATAGGCACATTTTTCTTGTCCTTACTAAAACTGCCCCTAAAACATTGAGCTGTTTGGTGATGGACTAAGTAGAGAGAGAAACCCACACAGCTCCATGCAGCATGGGCAGGAGAAGACAAGGTAATGAGATTTAAGCATCTCCTTTGCAGCCTGCTTCCACAATCTTCCAAGCCACCTTCTAAAGCCATCCTGCATTTTTCCATTTGACACTACTGCTCTCAGCCTTGTATGTCTACATTCTCTCAGTAAGTCAACCTAAGATTCAGTTGGGTAAGGAATATTTGGTACACCTCTACTCAGTAACAACCTGAAGAGCTGAAGCGGTCTCCCAGTGCTGTGCTCCTCRTAAGACATTTCTGCTACTGCAATGTTCCTCTTTCTCCTTGAGCACACACAGACTGAGCTTCCACAGATTCTTAACTCACTGAATATCTTTAATGGGCTATTCATATCCTGCTCCAAGCTAGCAAAAATGGCATTCCCTTGCAAATACAGCCCAGCATTTCACTTTGCTCAGGACACCACACTCAAGGTCTCATTTGAGAATACCCATTTTCTTCTCTTTGCAGCTACAAAGAACCTGCTGCTTCCCAGCCACATGAACTCCAGGAACCACAGCTAATTATTCCTGAAGGCAGTATCAGGTGGAAAGCTCTTAGGCAGACAATAAATATACAGTGCAGTGCTTATTTAGAGTATTAGAAGCTGCTGCAATAAACACCTCTTCAAACCCTGAAGTCTCAACAATGTCTCATGCCCAGGACCCCCAAACTGCTTAATGAAAACAGCACAAATCCCCCTCAGAAACCGATGTCTGAATCAACAGGGGAAATGCTGGGATGCACAGCTTTTAACAGGAACTGTGTGCTCTGCTACAGACAGCTGATCCAACTCACTGAGGGCACTTCTGTCCAGCCAAACTGTAACAGCCTCRGCTGTTTTACAGAGAGGCACTAAATCCCTCAACAAATTGGATAATCTGAGCATTTAACTAGCTTACAGGGTTATGTTTTAGTGATGCCTGCTTTTAACCTCTTGCAATCTCTGTAGCTTTGCTGGCTGTGTAATGCTTTAGACACACACGGCATCCTGCTTTGAGAGGTCAACAGGGGACAGAGAAGTTAGGTGGATTTTCAGTTCTCTTAAAACAGTCCATCACCTTTGCCAGCTGCCTTGCTTTATGGGATCACCTGTGATTACAGCAGAGCAGCTAGGTATCTCCAAGAACACCTGTGGTCCATGGAAAACCCACACCAGAATAAAGTTCTCCTCATGGGAACTGCAGCCCATGGAGGACTCACACTGGTGCCCAGTAGTGATCACACCCCTCTGTGTCATACCCATGTTTCTCAGGGCACTGTGGGGAGGTAGAAGACCCTGGTGTGTAGGAATGAACTTGAGCATGGGGAAAAAAAGGTGGTGTTTTAATGCTTATTTTTTGTTTCTTGCTATTTGAACAGGCAAGAAATAAAGTAATTATTTTAAATTAATTCTCCCTAGGATAAGTCTGTTTCGCCCATGACAGTACAACCTCCATATCTTATCCTGATCCACAAGTTTTCTCAGCTTACTTTGTCTCTGTCTTGCAGAGGGAAATGGCATGGCCGTGTGGGAATCTGGCCCTGAGCCATGGCTACCCTACCACAATCACACAAGGGATACTCTTTACCCTGCAGGGTAGCCCTGTGCTTGGGAAGGGGCAGTAAGTGCTGTTACTAATGTTCAGTAAAACCTGATTTCCCCCAGAGGAAACACTAGCTCCAGGTCTTCACTTTAGTCCAGGTGAAGAGACAGAAGAAACACATTACAGCAGCTTCTGCATGAAGYCCAGTTTTGTTGGGTTTTTAACCAGAAATCCTTACCTGCCCTGCTCAAGTAAGACTATATCCTTCCAACCCATCTTGGAAAGGTGATATGCCACAGAGGTGCCCATGATTCCACCACCACAGATGACAACCTGTGCCTGTGCTGGCAGTGAAACCGGATGAGGTTCTGCTGTAGTTGAGGTACTYCGCTGGGAGCTGGTCATTCTCCTCCATTTCGGATGAGCTGCCCGCCACTGGATATCGGACAGCAATCGGAGAAACATCCCGGCAGCTCTTTGTCACTTTTCTTAAAACACCACCTGTGTTCAGACGTTACCTCAGTACCACTCCTTCTAGGAAGGAAAAGATGAGACTCACATTACCACTTATCTTATTATACACAAGGCTGGCAGCAGGAAACATCACGTGGTGTGTGGGTATAAGTGGACACGGGAAAGCTGATGAGCAAACAAACAGGAGGACAGTTAGTTCTGCAACAACAACCTTGCTGTTAAGATTTAAACTTAGATCGTAAAACAGGAACAGAGCACTACACCTTTGGTTTTGACATTGTCAAGCTGCACTATGAGCAAAGAACCAGAWGAGAGGTGGAAAAGCTCTCCAACCAATGACACTGAGAGCCGAAACAGCCATCAGGCACAAATCATGCTCTGGAATGCTTCCTAAAGGTAGAAGTTAAYAGGGCACAAATAAGCTTGATTATTAACGCAGCCAGGTCTTTACCTGAAGAAGGAAACGAAGTCTGTGATGAGTGTAACTGGCACAGRGCACCGGAGAGGGCCCTCCGGGAACAGCTTTACCACAAGCTTTACCCCAGGGCCTGGCTGCGGCAGCTCCCCCAGCACTGGCACCAGGGGTTCCCTCACCCGCAGCCCCCGGTCCGTGCCGGGAGCCTGAGGGACGGGGGTGTCACGGTGCGGGGTGTCAGGGAGCTCCGGGGCGCGGGGCCGCAGCCTCGGCCTGCTCGCCCCCGCCGGCGCTCCGGGAGGGGAAGGCGCCGGGAGGGGAAGGAGGGCCCGGGGCGGTGGCGGCGGTGTTCACGCCGCGGTCGCGGAGCGGGGTCGGGGTCGGGCTCGGCGGGGCCGCGCCGCTCACCTGGGCCAGGGGGAGGCCGGGCTGACCTTCCGCGCTTTACGGCCGCGGCCGCCGCGCGACAGCCGCCCCTGCGCGTGCGTCACCCGCCCCGCCCAGCCACGGGGCGTGACCAAACGAGACCCCGCCCCTCGCCCCGCCGGCCGCGAGCGTGACTCTTGTTGTGCTCCCGAGGGAGCGCGCGGCCACGTGACGTCACCGGGCGCATTTAAAGGGGCCGCAGCCGCCGCCCCTCCAGCTCCCCGCGTCCCCTCAGAAATAAACCACCACAAGTACAAACCTGCAGACTCTTTTTATTAAATTCTCCCATTTCATCTGTACAGAAAAAAAAAATGCACATTATTATGTTCAGGATTTCAGTAACATCTCAAAATTACACAGCATGGACATGTAAAAACAAAACAAAAAAAAATAAAACAAAAAAAAAACCAACTGAAACAAGTAGCGGCCAGGATTTATACACAGAAAGGGGAAACAATTTACAAAAAAAAAAGTCTCGTTAATGTCACATTTAAAAATAATAATTATAATAAAAAAAAGATACTACGTTCAAACAGCATCTGCTGTACAATAGGAATCCGCTGGGTCTGCTTTGTACACTGAGGGGTGCGGGGGAGCCCCTTTCCCCAACACCCGGCTCATGCCCAGTCCAACACACACGTTACTCACAGCCTCCGATCCTCTGCTTCTACAGTCACACCTTTCCCTTTTCTCCTAGTTSAGTATTTCCCAAGGCGAGAGCTACGTGAGCACTTCTCAGTCAGTACAGGGGCAGCAGAGGGGATCTCAGCGTGCACTGATTCACTCTGGAAGGGATCTTTGCGTTTGGTCAGCTATGGAATCAAATTTGSTGCTGTGGAAGGAGAAAATCGTGCCTCTGGCTAGTGAAGAGCWGTACTGTTACTCTTCCCTATCCAAGGCACTGTTCAGGAGCTCAATGGAGTGGATGCAGAATTCCAGCAGCACAGGACAAAGMGCGATGCCAACTGAATTCTCTCTGGCACACATGTGATTTGGGTCCCCTCTAACCACGAATCACTGGTGGAARCAAAATGGCAGGCTTGGCTCCCAAACAGGGAGACTGCACAAAGATCAGTACCTGGGAGCTGCCTAGAGGACCTGAACCCCAAAATTAAGAATGTGCTCTTACACAAACCCACACTACAGCTGTTTGAGTCCACAAAGCTGTACCTTAAACAGGGACCAAAGTGCTAGATGAAATATTCTGGTTTCATATAACACTTGTGCACTCATACACACCTCAAAACTACCTTTMTTTTTTCAAACAAAACTGATATAGWAAAAATAAAAACCCCTACAATCTTCCTTCACTAAATAATAATGTGTTTTAACAGAAATCGCCATCCAACTTGAACACAATTCCTCTACAATATTATGGGATYCCAGCGATCCCTCTGGCTTGTAACATTTCTTCTCTCTGTACCTACCTGCAGTTAGTTTCTGTACTTGAGATTCACCACCATTATTTTCCATACAATGCACTTACTGTGGATTCTTTCAGAGCAACACTGATCATATTGCACGGATTTAAGCATCAGATTCTGGAGGAAATGCTAACATTTTGCTACAGAATTATTCARCCTTCACTAGGTCTTTCCAGCCCTTTGCAATGACACAGATATATGGATACTCAACCCAACCTGCTGGGCAGTACCTCAAGTGACAGGAGTTTTGTTCCTACCAGCAGCCTAATGACAAAAGCAAGGCAGGAGAATCCCAAGCTGAAACTCMCAAAAAGCATTGATTAGACTCACTAGGTAAACAATAAATAAGCTTATTACTGTGAATGAGAATGAACGCTAACAGGCTAGCAGGAGTGAAGTATTGAGGTGCATATCATGCACAGTTCCTGACACGTGCACATGCCATCATTTAGGAAGCTGAACCTGTAAACCCTCACAACAGCAGGAAGCAAATTGAGAGCTGCATTCCTTGGTAGATCCCAAACATCCAGCTCTTCCATCCACACCCTGAGCACCAGCATCACTAGTTCTAGAATAACTTCTCCAAGAGAAGGCTTYSTGATGATCAGGARAACAAAAAARCCCAACCAACAACCACCTCTTAAACTGCATTCAGTGGMATGCAGTTCCTACAACAAAAGGTGAGGGTCATGAAGAGGAAAGGCTTCTGCAGATTCCTCCACACTAATCCACTTCTCTTGGCTGACTGCAGCTATTGCTAACACTGTTACAACAGAAGCTAAAAAGGCTTTCTCAAATTCAAGGCAACAGCAGTGTTTCTTACAAGCACTTCTCACACGTTCCTCCAAGGGTGGTGAGACACTGGCACAGGTTGCTCAGAGAAGTTGTGGACTCCCCATCTCCAGAAGTGCTCAAGACCAGGCTGGATGGGGCTCTGAATGCCCTGGTCTAGGTTGTGGAAAGTGTCTCTGCCCAAGGCAGGGGTTGGAATGAGATGAGCTTTAAGGATGCTTCCATCTCAAGTTGTTCTGTGACTCTATGACTCTTTCCCTGCAGTGGAAAATGGTTATCTGCTGGCAACAGCACAACCAGGTTATTTTTGGAAGAGTACTCCTGTGGGTTTCTGTGCCGTTGAAATCTCTAGATTTTTTAGGTAGGCATGAAAAGAAGGAGAATGGTTCAAGACTGACTGGTAGATTTTTAGTTGAGAAAAAAGCAGATTTGGTCATCACCAGTGATAGGAGGCCCCTCTCTAAAACACGAAAAGATAAAATGCTCAATGATAAAACAGCCTGGACCCCTTGCCAGCATCCATCCTTTAAAAGGTGGGTCTGTGGCCTTCCAAGGGCCTCCAGCCATACACTTCTAACACCACCYCAGTGCACTCACACTGAGCTCCCAGGTGAGCCTGACACAGGCAGAAACACCACCAACCACAGACTAACAGCACTGCAAAGAACAGACTCCTAATGCCACGCTCCAGGCACCCTTACCTTAACCTTCTCCAAATTAAAAAGGAAAAAAAAAACCCTGAAAGCCTTTTACCTGAAAGTAAAGAAAGTCACCTTCAAAGCTGAACAGGGTTTACATTTGGAACTATGGCTACAAACCTACAATTTTCACTGCAATGTCTTTTGAAATTTAGTGGAAGATGCTATTTCTAGACAATAAACCATCTAATTAGGCTTTTCAAGCTAATCAGGTTACAAAATGCCTTCTCAAAAAGTCACAACAGTTTAAAAAAAGCCCTCCAATGGCAATTTAATTATGTCTGATMGACATTTTGGAGAACCAGGACTCGTGCCAGCAAGCAAGGCTGCACCAAGATCCCACTTCCCTTGCTGGCAGCTCTGCGAGCACACCCATCCCTACAGCAGTCATTTCAACACTCAGTCAAGTGACACAACACACATTTCTAATTGCCAAACTAATATTTGTGGTTTTACACACCTGTGCTACTTCAAGAGACCTGATTAACTGTTTCTTTCTGCTCCACTTCATGCTGACATACAGCCAGTCAAACTCTGTTAGCAGTTGGGAAGAGGGGCAATAGAAGGAATTCAGGCTTAAATTCAGYTCTACTTAACCACTTAACTTCAATTCTACCATACACTAACTCTCTCCWGAAACATCATTGCTCAGGCTTTTGCTGCTGCTTGTGTTTACAGTACTTTGCTACAAAACCAGAAGTGTCTGTGAAAGACTCACAAGTGTAACCCATATTAGTTTGCCACCATCCTCAGAGTAGGATGAAGGTACGTTTGCAAAAAGCTTCAGCAAAAAGTTGCAGCAAAAGCTCACAGTATTTTGTACATGCCACTCTGTTACACAGAATCATCAGAATCCACACTCCAAAGTGTCTCAAAACCACCTCCACTGTTCTTCTATAGAACAATGGGGAGAACTGAAAATCCCAGGTCTAACACAGCAGTGTGCTAAGTGGGAAAATAAAGTTATGGTTCAAGCATCAGCCTAAGTTGGACAGTTTCAGGCACGTTGTTTTTACCACAGCACACAGAGGTGAGCACATCTAAAAGGTGAGTAAAACACATTGACTCTCATGCAGTCTCTTCTAGATTTCACCAGCACACTCCATGTTTCAGTCAAAGCACRTGTCTTATGTGCTCCACACCTCCCTGTACTTGAGGAACAAAGAYGGTGGTAAGAAGAGGCCACAACTACTGGTGCAGCTTTTCTAGAACATCTTTGGGCTCTTGGGTGCAAATATCAGGTTCTGGAARTATAACTACACATAGCATAAATGCACATGTTGATGGTAACTACACAAAAGCTACTTCCCTTAAAGATCCAAATGTTTCTGCCTCTCATACCACACTATCGTTCTTCTATCCACTCCTGCTTGGCATTCTGGACTGACAGGTGTGTCCTACATCCCAGGAAAAGCCAGGTGTTATCACTGAGTGTGGTTACAAACAACTGTGCTAACCCACAAGTAACCATTATATGGAAAGAGCATGTTGAGTGTTCCGGCGCTTTCTGCATCACTGAGAGAGCACTGCATTGCCAATGTGTCAATACCATTTACCCACAGTTAATTTGGAAGGGTAACAGCTTAGCAGCAGCAAGGTAAAATATAAGGAGTGTTAGAATTTTACTGCATCATTGTAAATAAAAAAGTTGACCGAGTAATTGCTCAGAGCACTTCCTGCCCACTGACAGCAGCACCGTTTACTACTGACAGGTTCTACACACCTCATGTCTACATCGTGTCTTTAATCTACTGAAATACAAGTTGTACAGCTCACATGAGTATTCAATCCTGGTCAGTATTTTATTCTATCTTGCGAGCAGCAGAGGAAGAAAGGGAGGACATCTTTTCAGCCAAAGAAATCCACAGTCACAAAAGCAGGATATTCACTAGGAGAAGACACCAGTGATTGGTGTCCTTAGGTTGTCCAAGACTATGCTCTGAAGATGCTTTACACAGAYGAGCAAGATGTCCAAAACAAGGCCAACTGTGGTGTAAGATGCAATTTACCCTTTTAATTTCCTGCCTCAACTTCACCCAGCCACAGTGGATGACTAAATTTCAGTATGRACCATTGCCTAAATCATATAGTCGGTATGCAGAATATGTCTGTCTTTAAAAATTTACTTAAAAACTGCTTGAGCTGCAGGTCGTATCAGTCTGATTTGGAGAGTGAAGGCAGTTCCAACAGTACAACAGAGACTTGTCTACAGGCAGGTAAACGAGAGTCTGCTAACAAAGGGGTAACAAAAGCTGATGGCTGGGCTGCCAATGTTGCACACAAACTTTCATAGGATGAAGATGCCATGGATGAGATCCAGGATGGGAAAACTGAGCCAACACCTGCTGCTGTTCTAATTTTTTTTTTTTTTTTTTTTATTCTCCTCTCACAAGAGGGGGCGGGTAACTATACAGAGGAGGGCTGTACAAAACTGGGCACTGGGCAGGCATTTCTTCAGCAGGCAATCCAGGCTCTACCTGTCCTTGAGCTCTCTTGTCACCCGCTTGGTGATACGTCCACACATCAGRCCGATGAGGAAGAGTACACAGATGCCAACTGTGATCACAGACAGGATGTAATTCTTGGACGGGGAGGTCATAACTTGCATGGCAAGGTCAGAAAAGCCTTCTGCTGGGGCAACCTGGAGGTGAAAAGGGAACAAATGAGCCAAGCTGTGCTTTYCATGCAACCCTCAGATGTGACATTTACCAGCTTTAGTCTCAGGTACTGCTGTTGCCTCCTGTCATTGTCAGACTTGGCCTGAACCAGAAATAAGCAGGCCTGAAATGATTCACCTGAAGGAACTGCTGCTCAGGAGGCATCTTTAYAACATGAAGCTTTCCTGCCCCTATTTCACTGCCCCAGATCTTCTCTACAGGAGACTAAGCCCTGGGTGCAAAAAAGAGTTTAATTCTGCATTGTTAGGGATGCAGCCCAGACACAGAGTAAAATTTAAGTTCCAAGAGGACGACCTGTTTCAATTTTTCTGAACCAAACTCAAAATACTAAACTTCATTCAGAGACAAGAATTTCATGACAACTGAAGTTTTTCATCAATACCTTGCAACAGAAAGATCTAAACCATAAAAAAAAATGAAAATCCTTTACATATTCACCTTTGCAGCATAGCTCCACATTTCAATACGATCATTAAGGCGTTTCTTGCATTCAGGCTGCAACCTCACACGCTTATCTTCCAGAGCTTCCATTAAGCATGACATTTCTGTAATGTGCAGAAGATGGTGTTACAAAATAGAAACAGTGGCTTCGATAACATGGTGCAGAGAGGGGCTCTTTCATTCTCATGAAGGCTGATGGTTACAAGGCTTTCTAAACAGACCTGGCAGACTGCCCCTGAGGCTTGCAATTTCACCAAGATTCATGATCAATATTGCATTTGGAGATGCAAGGAATTTTGACTTCCAATATATAATTCATGTGGTTTACATGAGATTTTATGAAATCTTATAAATTTGCACCTTCAATGAGCTGTACACTCTGAACTTCATGCCACTAGCCTTTAGAGAGAGCTAAGATCACATTCAGTTCAGGAAAAAACACAGTCTTATCTCCTTAGGCTTGTTAGGAGTTTCTTTTGATCAACAACATATTTTGAAAAGTTTAACTTCCTGAATTTTCACACAGTCCTGTGAAAAGGAAATMGGATCACAGTGTTCTGGTGCCTACAGAGGGGCTTGGCCAACTAACTCATAAGYTCTTTTATATGCTCATATGATACACTGACATAAAAATTTTGCATTCTATATTCGTGCTACCATACTTGACTAATCCCTAATTAGATGCTTTCTGCTTTGCAGTGAAGTTATTTAGCTCGCAGCAAACAGGCCACAAACTTATTTAAACCAACTCCAGACGTTTAATGCACAAYTGTCAATTCAAGCACTCACAAGCAGAGCCCTCTCCTTCAGTGCAAACACATCAGAACACACATCAAAAGAATTACTACAAAGCAGAAATAAATAAAGGATATCCGGAATTTCAGAAATGCATTCAATAACCAGCACAAAAGATAATGATCAGGAAAATACTTGGCTGTTATTTTTAATCCCAGATAAACTTAGAAAGATGGGAAAGTTCAAGACCTTTTTCTGCACTAGCTTTCAATAAACAGCCACACATACTATCCAGGTAGCTAACTGAATAACAGCAACTAAGTGCAAGAGCTTCACCTCAAACAGGAGAAGAAAGGGTTCAGAAATACTTAAATATATTATTTTTCAAGTGGTCTGAACTTGCTGAACAGAGTGTTTGATAACTTAGAACAGCTGATAAAGTCTCAAAGCCTTTAGCTGCTATGTGATCTTAGAAAGTGCAGTCATGATTACCTACCCTCTGCAACACTGAAAAAAAGAGGTGGTATGTTTCAGCAGAGAAGAAAAAAAAATMAAAATGCTTCAGTTTAAACCTAAGCTGAATGAAGAAGCCAACCATAGACAAAGACAAGACACAAAGAAAGAAGAACCAAGGAGATTAGCTYAGAATGAAACTTGTGAATCCAAACCAACTTCTTGCTGTAAGAAAAGGAGCTTARTTCTAGGATAGCTTTTGATACAGTCTGATAGAACATTTTTATATGTAAACTTGGGAGATGTACTTTGTGTGAAGCTGATACACAGCTTCAGGTGGGAGATAAACCTCACTGAAAAATGAGTTCATGTGTATTAAAAGCTCATTTTCAATGGAATTTAACAGAAGAGGAATTTTATAGGAGGTTTTTGGATCTGCTATCACACATGACTGTCAGCAATTGTAAGAATGATGGCACATAAAATACACCCATTAAATCTGCAGATAAGGCTACAAGGATATTATTATCAGGACTGAGGAATAGATCCTGCCTTGGACACAAGGAAAGACTTCTTGACACCCATTCATCCACCACCTCTGCTGCTGTTCCATCCTGCTGCCCACAAATGACTCGTAAAAATTTCAAAATTTCTTGTATGTAAGATTATGATGGTAAGAAAACCCAGATTAAGTATCTCAGGACTGAGAGGTTATACAAGTACAGCACGAGCACTTACGGCGTCCTCTGCCTGGCGGAATGGCAGCACAGTGGTGTTTGATGTCTAGGGCACAGGCCGTGTGGAGCACTGGGTCAACAAATATATCTGCTTTGCTTTCCTTCAGCATGTTGAGCACTTCCTGAGGAGGAGGAAATTACATCTCAGAAAAATGAGAGAGAACACAATTCATGCTGATCAATGTCTCTGAAAGGTGTGTCATGTTTTTAAATCCAGGAACATGAGAAAATCCACTACTGTCCTTGGATGAAGCTATGAATGCTGGTTTAGGCTTAATTAAGTCTCCTTAGTTAAAGACCTTAAAGTTTCTAACATTCATTAAAATACTCATATTAATCTAAGTGACAAAGCAAATATGCTAGAATTACTTCAGTTAGAACTGAAATCTAGTGCCAAAACCATGGCACAATTCATACAGCCCTCGATCACACAGCCTGGGCCTAGGAAAGCCTGCAACGGAGACAGCACCAAGAGACACATGAGCAACAAGAGCCTTTGGCAACCATAATCAAGAAAGGATTCAAGTCTGGAATTGCAAAGGAGGAACTCTCAACACAATTTTCACTGGCAAATTGAAAYTGAATTGAATCACTGCAGGCCAGAACTGGGATGCATAGGGAAATTTCAGTGCTCTGGCCTCATACTAGAAAGAATATGACCTCGGCTGTGATCTGGAAAAATCATAGACTTCTGCAGGGATGGGAGCTTTTTAGAGCACATCCAATTTATTTTCTTTACCTTCTTGCACATCTCTGTTTTTATTTTCAGCAGATTCACTTTCAGACATTCTTCCACCTGCCCAGTCTGCTCCTGAGCTGCTGCTTCTTCTGCACACAAGCTGGAAATCTATTTTGAAAGAGGTGTTTTAACGTAAGTAGTTCAAACAATCATTCTGCTTTTTAGCACATTTATATCTCAATATGTTAGTTCATCACAGGGCATAGCTAAAGAATACATGATGAGATTCCTTCTCCCCCAAAATCCCAAAAGCCAAATGCAGCCTGGCTCATGCAATATGCAGAACCCTCTGAAACCCAGCAGCAAGAAGTCAATATTGCTGTGCTGAGGAGGAGGGCAGGGAAGAAAACAGCATGGAAAGAATGTGAAAATATKAAATAAGTAACACTTGAAGCATGACCAACCCTATTACCAAAAGTGAAAACTCAAAAAGCCTGACTGTATGCCAGTTAAGGCTGACAAGACCAGAGAAATGACTTCTTTTTGACAACAGGAAAAAGTATTTTTCCACAGTCACAAGTACTGATGAAATTCCAGTTGAAAAAATTAACTTTGCATTAGCACTGCACAGGAAACTGCAGTTCTTGCACACTAGGCGGAAGTCACAAGCAGAGAATTGGACTAGCCAGAAACAGCTCAAAGGGCCTTTTTTTATTTTACTTATTAGAAAAGTCCATGTTTTGAGAAACAAAAATCCATTACATGTAGGGAGAATTCATCATGATAAAGTAGCTATAGAGTTAYTTYGCCTACCTCGTCAGAACAGTGCATYTGAAGCTGGGGATCCAGCCGATAATCAAGGGCTGATTCCTGGATTATCACTCGAATTTGGTCCTCGCAGTCTGGAGAGAGTCGCTGTTTGGAGGARAAAGTCATTAACTCAYTCAGTGACCTTCAGAAATCAACCAYCTTGTATTTTTAACCCGTATTMTGTAACACTTGTATAGGAACATAAAAACCTCCTTTATGTACAGCCTATTACATATGTTGAACACACCACAAGCTCAAGTTTTATTTGTTATTCAATGACTGTTGATCAGCACTTTTTCTCATTTGCAGGCACCACCTCTACTCACCTGGTCTGCATATTTCAACTTCAGGCATGAGATGACTTGTCCTTCCAACTCTGTATCATCCTTGGCCCTATTCAGGATATTTTGGCAGAATTTTGGTATGTCTGCTTTGCACGCCTTCCTGAGCACAGGGTTTAAGCGGTAATCTAACCAGGAGACATGACATTTCATTAGAACACACATCCCTTCARATTACAGAATGCAACACTCTAAGAAAAATGGGATAGAAGTTTCCTAGATAACATTATATAACCAAGGAATATAATCTTTGGGGAGAAACAGTATTTTTTTTTCACAACAGAATCTCAATTTGTGATGTAAGAGCTTCAGAAATAAAGAAACTTCAACGACACATGCTGACTCTCAAGAACTTGACTAAGGTCAGTGTGTACRTGGAAAACCACAAAGGAGAATAAAACAAAACTGATACTCTTCCAGCCATGCTGAACAGCTCAGGCAAGCAAGTTCTGGTGGTTTGTTTTTTTTTTTCACAAGAAGATACCTGTGTTCTGTGTAATCTGKCGCTTGGTAATCATCTGCTTGCATTTAGGATCCATCACTTCACTGTTCTTGTTTTGTTTCAAACACTGTAACATGTTTTTTGAATCCGCCTCTGGACAAAACCGCTACAAAAAACCCAAAACCCAACAAGTTTCATCACTAAAAGCACTTGAAAAAACAAAACCCAAACCCAGTTCTGGCTAGTGTGAAATAATCCCTTGTATGAACATTCTATGCTGCTTTTTACATGSTGCCACTTCCAGCTATTGATACTAATTTTAAGTTTTGCATGATTTTGCCTGCTTTATCATTTTGATAAAAGTCTGGGTGCACCAGGTCAGGAGTGAACTGAATACTTTACTCGTCTCTGTAATCATAACTTCTTCACCCTTGCTARAAGTCAATCCAAATCCAAACTGACTGGATGAAAACTATATTAGAAGCCTCAGCACAGATTCCCTCCTCAATTCTGCTGGCGGTTGGGAAGACAAATTTATTAKTGCACAAGCTTTGATCAGGAAGTTGAAAGAGAAGAGCCCTGAAGAAACCTCAGCCTGATTCAGAGTTAAGAAACAGATTACTCTGCAAAAAAAGCAATCATACTCCTGAAAGAGCACAGCGGTGTTGTAACAAGCATTTATGAGGAGCTCAAAGCAGATATGGCTCTTATATCCCAATCTCACCCTCTTAACTGAGCWCAATACCATTACCTTGATCATCTGCTTGCAGACTCTCATGAGAGTGTAATCCAATTCTGGGTCCATCATCTCTGTCTCCTGYAGTTTGAACACCTTCTGGTGGCACCGTGTACTCAACTGCTTCTTGATTTCTTTCAGGCATTCAATAATCTACAACACATTATTGAAGGCATAATGGACACAYTGCTGATATGATTCTGTCATACACAGCTGTGTGTTCCCCTAATGACCACCTTTACCTCATTTGGGAAGTTAAGTTCCCAATGCCAAGATTTTATTGAAGTCATTACCAATGCTTATTTCCAGGACTTGCTTTAAGCTCATTTTTTTCTCACAAAGATTTAATGAGAATGAAGAGGGTCTCTTGGACTTACTCCAAAACCACAAATCTCATCTTGCAGACATTATGCCTAAGAAATCTTTAACAACATTTGCAGTAACTAGCTGCTAATAGCTTAAAACCAACATTAAGCATTGAAGAATGAAGTGCTCACAGCATTGCATTCACTCAGTATTAATGATTGTGAACCAGTGGAAAAAAAATTAACATTCCGAAGTACTACCAAAATATTTGAGTGATATCAGAATGAAAATCTCAAGCTGCACTTACAGGGGCAAAAGTGTTCTTCAAAAGCTTTTTGAAATGAAAGTACAAATTAAATTGTAAATTATTAATAAATTCCATTACCTGAGCATTGCCATAGGGCACGTTCTGGCAGTAATTCTTGATGTCACTTTTACAAGCCTCATACAGTTCTGGTTCAAGTCTGATATCCTCAGTCTGCAGGAAAAAATACAATATGAACCTAAAAGTAGGACTCAAAACCATTTTACTCTTTTAATCTCTTAACTGGAGATCTCTAGTCACAAAAAGTAAGCAATCTTCAAAATAGGCGTTCAGTTTCTTTGAATGTAAGGGTCTTGGTGTGAGAAGTGGTGTCAGWAGGAAATCAGCTTTGCAATTCCCTGTAGCCACCAGTCAGCTTTCTGAAGAAAGGGTTTAAATCAAATTATAGATCTGGCAAGTTGCTTCCACTGCTTGTCCTAAAAGGGCATCATCACAAATGTCCAAGACAACYAAAATCTTTCCATGTGAAAGCTAAAGGACATATTAACAACTGCTCATCTAGTAAGTGATCTGGAGGATGTGAATGAAATTTCCTGGTTTTGGTAATGCCCAGCATCTGAATTCTTCCATACAAAGCCAAGAGTGCTGCCTCTTCTGATATGGACCTACTTAAGGTAAAGCTTTAACACATAAACATTATCTACAGGACAAAGACCTTAAGAGTTTATTACTGCAAGCACTGCAGCAGGAAGTCGAGAGGCAGCTTTGCCTACCAGAACAAACACTACTCCTATTTATCCATTGAGCAACTTGGAGCAGCTGGARTCGAGTTGCTTCATCTGTGCTTGTTTCCTCAGACTGTAAAATGAAGCTTTTGTTCTCTCCTAGAGGATGTTAAGGACATCAGAATGTGTAGCACGTTGCTGTCTAACACTAAACATAATCACTTCTAGCTGAAATTCCAATGACCATTTAGCTTGCCTTAGCCTTCGTGAGACTAGATTTAAGGCATTAAAGTAGACAATCAGTACTTTCACCGTGAAGGGCAATTGAGCCTTGTGTTGTAAGAAAAGTGGAAAAAATAAATCGGATACATCTTACAAACGAACTTCCTTTTTTTTCCTGAAGGTGGACAAACCAAAAAGCTTTAATTGAAGGACCTCACTAGAAGAGCAGGGAGAACAACAATTTCAGGCATGTTTACCATCTCTAGCTCCTCAACACGCAGCTGCTTGCGGCACTTCAGAGASACCCTGTGCTCCTTGGCATCCTGCAAAGTATCATTGCGCACAGTTGTGCTCAGACAGATCACTACATCCACCCTGCAGAAAAGAAAACAGCTTTTTACTCATACACCCCTCACTAAKATCAGCCAAGGCTGGTATTGGATTACCACACCAGAGAAATTGAGTCCAATAATCCAAAACCAGTATGAAGTCCTTGTGCATCTGTGCTTACTTCTGGGTACAGCTCAGTGTACAGTACCCAGATCACAAACAAAATCTAAACTGGAGTCTAGAACAGCAGACAGAAGACCTTCAAAATCCCACCAACCCTTCTCCCCAGCAAGACCTCTGCTCTTAAGTCATATCAGCACTTCAGAAACGCTTTGCTTCATCTCAGAATTGAAGGTGAATATCTATAAAGCATTGCAAACAATCCTTTTACACTATAAGAAGGGCATTTATCTCATAAAATGCAAATAGTCTTGCTATCTACAAACAGGACTGACCTTGTATGTAATTTAGCTGCATGCTATTGCAGTAGGACATTAAAAAAAACCCTAGACTGCAGTGAATAAACCAGATAAAACAAGTGGGATATTTTCCCTTCCCAGATCAGCAACTAGAACAGCAGTCTGCCTCTTTGAAGACAATGAGTCTAGCAAGGCTATAAAACATTCTGGGACATGCAATCCATTAATTGTAWKAATCAGCTAATTTTACAGCAAGCARAAYAAAGAGGACAGGCTTCTATCCAGGAGTAAGGCAAAGGTAATTTTAAGAGGCAGGCTTCTACCTTAAGAATCTGCAGAACACAATCATTAAGGGAACAAAACAATCTTCCTTTAAAGCAAGTCCAACATTTTCTGTCCTATCATGAAATATCCTGTCACTTAATTACACATCTATACAATCAGATTGCTGTTTGATCAGGCACTACCTACTTTTTTTTAATGTTGGGGCACARTTTCAGCACATCCTCCTTGCAAGCCATTTTAAACTTGTACGAGAACCTAAAATCTTTCATTTGAACCTGCAAGAGAGAAATGGGGAGAAAAACAACTTTGGTCATCTAGAGTTTAAAAAAAAAAGGCAAAGTGCTGGTCAAAAGAACACTTGTTGAATCATACAATTACCATATACTTTTGCTCAAACTTTTTAACGTGGAAGCAAGGGGGATGCTGCAATGGTGAAGAAGCTGGGATCCTGCCTACCATATGCCAGGGATGAAGGAGGGGCTGAAAAGGACTCATCCCTAAAGTGACCATTTATGATTAGGCACACAAATACAACTGTCTAAATTCACAAGAGCTCTTTAAATACAGTGGAAAATCCATTTCAAAGAAGAAGCATTTTCATAATTAGCTAATTCCTATCAACACCCTGAAAGAACAGAACAGGCTTCCACTAATAGCAGAAAAGCATTGCTTACCAGCTGGAAATGAGTAACACCGATTGCACATTTTTCATTCATTTCCTTCTGGTGTTTGTTCTGTATTAGACACTCCATCAGGTCCCCAGAATCAATCTGGTTATCTGCAACCTCCTAAAGAAGAGATGAAAGGCTTAAAAATTAGTGATTCTTACAAGTCATGGTTTTTATACTCTTTTAGCCCACTGTGACCAGGAAATGTGGAACTTACAGCCCCACTCTCTATAGTGGGCTAACTGGTAACTGATCACCCTAGAGCTGCACCACACAACTCCAGTACACAATTCTGTTTGTACAGTTCAGAAAAGAACCACCTCAAAAACACACACACTTTAGACTCTGGAGGATGCACTGCAGAGACTCAGTGTTTACATGACATTAAAATTAGGTGCCTTCAAGGCTCTATAACTACTCAGCCCCACACCAGTGAAGTTATTTCACAGTGCTGAGCAGGTGCACAGAGCGGCTAGACACGCTGCCTGCACATAAAGAAGGAAAAAAAGTCTAGTATTTAACTCACTGTAAAGAGTGATTTTTGCAATYACAGAGCAATTTTCATCTTCAAAGTAGCATTTCTGCTAGGGCTCTGACAACAGCAGAAACACTAGGCAGAAGTAAGCATTTTTATTTTAGGGTGATTTTTTAATTAAAAACTTTTGTAACTGATTACCTCTGATTTTACTTTTGAAATGTAGCAAGAACTAATACTGAAACTCTCTAACCTTTCCCACTGAGCTTTTTCCTCAAAGATGTTCACACTATTACAGTGTACTCACATGACAGAATGTCTGGATAATGGGCTCACATGCTCTCATCAGCAAGGCTTCAATTTGAATGTCCTGCAGAAAATACAGAGTTTTTCATTTTCACAGTAAATGCACAGCAGAAAAAGGCTCTGGGAAAAACCTGAGATAACAACTCCAACTCAACCTGGTTTATAGGGTTTTGAAAAATGCAATCCAGACAGCTTTGCCCTTCGGCTCTGGAAATCCTGGGGTTCACTTCTTGCCAATTGTGGCAAATGCAAGACAAGCCTTCCAGCTTAAGGGAACAGCCTGGTCTACACAGAAACTCCTGGTTTGGATAATTCAGCCATTCTCCTTCAAACTGGGTGCTAGAGCATTACAAATCACCTTATACCTCRGCAGTAGTTRAAGATTTAGCATAGTTCTGGCTAAACCAAAGYTTCTAACCACTGGMAGGAAGCTTTCCCTTCMAAATGTAAATTTTAAGGGATATGGGGAACAGTCTCGGGCTCAGCAGTCAAATATGCAGCTTCATAAAACAGGTAAAGCTCCCAACCTCTGGGAATCTCTACTGATGTACCCGGTGGTTATTGCTTGCAAAATTTTTGGGATTGAGAGGGAAGCTGCAATACAGTACTCAAAATTACTTACAAGCAAGACCAAAATCTCAAGCCCCATCACATATCTTGACTTGTTTTAAGGGTTTCTGTGCAAATCTTAATGTCATCAACAGCCTAAAATCCTGARCGGTTGTTCATTTCTCTTCCTCAAGAACCTCCATGAAAACTTCCATCGAATGGGGTAAAAAGGATGTTCTTTGATCCCAGAGCACTGCATTTCTGCAGCTCCTCTAACCTCAGGGATTTCCACCATTATTAAAATGACATGCTTTACTAGACATGCTCAGCTATTCCCTTTAGCCCAGGCTGAAAACCACTCACCTCAGACTCCAGCTCAGTGAGGTTTCCCACTATGTCTCTGCAATCAGACACCAAGTCATCAAGATGGTCCTGAAGGCATTCCAACTCCTACAGAAACAGACATTTTAGTGTGTGATCCAAGAACCCAAGCTGAAATTTTGGGCTTAAAACATCCTTACACATGTGAAACTGCACTCCTCTTCGAGAAGTCCTAAACTCATTTAATCCCACTCCTCTACTAGCACTCTCAGAACAGACMTATATAGTAATGATTGAGAATGTTGGTCTAGGATGTTACCACTTCTTCCCAAAAGATGCATGTTGTGCTTTCACTTCTGGAATATTGCATGTGATTTGCTCTTTCCATAACCTTAAAGAGAGTTTAGTTGCCCAAATTACAAACTATGACGGGCACTTCAAAAAGACAGTGATGTGCCCTGCAGTGATCTGCTGCAGAATGCTCCCTTCACTACAGCCCTCCTAGGGCACAGCAATTTTACATGAAAGTGTTTGTTGAAACTTCGTTAAGTAGCTGCAGATGTTAGTTCAGTTCTGTATAAACACAGGAAGCATGTCAGTATTTGCCAAATGGAAATGGGATAAAGTTTATGTGGGAAATATCAAGCTTGCAGTAGAGTATTACAAGTAAGGGTTGAGGGATGTAGGGTTGTCTCATTAAAGCCCTTTTTACTAACTATGCCCTTCTCCTTTCTCATTCCAATACACATTTGAACATGCAAAGCTTTTTTGCACCACCTGTCTCTGAGTCTGGTGTAGACTGTTTCAAACTGCACTAATTTTTAACACATTCTTCACTGTAGAAGCAGCAAGATGTCCCTTTATCTCCTTTTTGTCCTTCCCATCCCTCCAGCTTGCAAACAAAGTAGCAGTGATATATATTGTGTACAGTACCTGCCCTGTCTCTGTTTTTTCACTGCACCACTTCCCCAAGTCAATCATGCACTTGTCCTGGAGGGCTGGGTCCAGCTTCACATCCATGGCTCGCTGATGGAGGATTCTCTGGACCTCTGCTCTGCACTCTCGTGATAGCTGCAAAGAGGATAGGGAGTGTTTGGCATATGGGGTCCCTAAATCCACATAGGGCAAACAAGATGCTGCCAGGTAAGGTTCTGAGACTGCAAACGCCATCAGCAATCCCAAAAGGCACAAGAGTCCTGCAMTGCTCAGCACAGGCCTGCCAGGGCCCCCACAAGCAATTTGGGTTCCAAAAGAGCTTGGAGCTCTGTCATTTAGTTTGGATAGAAGCTCCTCTCTCATTCCACTAAGTTTAATTTTATATTCTTAAACCTCTACTTTGCTTTTTTGAAATGAGATGTCAGAGCAGGTCCCCAGGCTATCTGCTGCACCATCCCCCTCCACTCAAGGCTACACACTGATTCTGGAGAACAAAGTCAAAGTAGCTCATGCCCTCAATACCAAACGGGAAGCCCAGAGTTCTGCAATATAGCTCAGCTGTAATTTTTTCTCAGCAATCCCCCCTGCAGCACATCAGAGTCAGCACTTGCAAGACAGGAAGAAACAAACTACAGAAAACCAAAGTATACTGGTATGGTGCTTATCAGACCTAAAATGCACCAGTTGAAGATCAAAGCTTCATACATTTAAAAATCCAAACCACTGGAAGTTACCCAGCATTCTGTCAACGGCTCTGGAAAGTAGTACAGGTCTAACCTTCCATGAGTTTGCTTCCAAGACTAAATTTCAAAATGACAGCTGCTCCCTTAGCCTGCTTTCCAAAAGAAAAACACATTTAAAACTCTTTTCTCTCTCTGATAGATTATTTGCAGGGTGCCTATTGATTTCTTTGGTCAGCACTAATATAAAATGGAATGAAAAAGTCTCAACTCAGCAGACTAAGAAACTGCATTAAAAAAAATTATTCCTARAAGAGATGCTTTCAATCAATACTTGACCTCTGCCCCAAAAGACCTTTTAATCAAGCTGTGGAAATTAATTTTTAAGCTGGGCCACTGTGTAAAACCCACCAACTCCTAGGGACTGTGTACACTACAGTGCCAGAAGAAATGGAACTGAGTAACCAGGTGCTTTCATTTGAGTGCCCTGCTAAAGGCACGAGAGGGCAGCAAACTTGAAAAGAGCAGCCCTCAACCACAAATGCGATTATGGTGAATCTCCAGACTGCAGGGCAGCAAGTCAGATCCCCACTGTCTTCTTTAAAGACAGCATAAGCACATTTACCAGTACAGCATGCTCCAAAGAACTGGAAGGATGCATCATGTCARTAGGAAGAATTAAATGGAATATAATCTGAAGCTGGGCACAAATCAAAACTTAATTAGAAACAGCCCAGGAAAGCTGATCTTGAAACTCCTTTTGCACAAAACCAATTTTGCAGCTATGCTGGCTACCTGCAAGGAATCACATTCCTCTTTGGAAAGACATGAGGACTTGCAGTGTGTTTGAACAGAAATGCAAGTCAGTGTCAGCACACAGTTCTCTCACGGGTTCGTGTCACATCCTGCTGGGCCTATTTTGCCTTACCAGAGCAACCAYCTAGACCCTCAGGGCATCCCTGAGGGGCTGGGCACCCGAAGCAGTGCAACTACCACCTACAGTAAATGATTTAAAGTACTTTTTCTGAGTTTCAGCAGTTTCAGCACAGCATGTCCAACTCCCAAACGTGAGTACAACCCTTCTACCACAAGTTCAACAAGCAGCAAGCTGCCCATTAGCACTTACCCTCCTTCCTTGCTCCTCTGTGCGATATGCATGTCTGTACAAGCAGGAGAAAACAGCCCCTGGAGGCATCAGCTCACTGGTCTCGTTCCAGCCATGGGTATGGCAGAGGCGGGAGGCATCTCCCTGGCACTTGCGGTAAAGGACTGTGTCCAATCTGCAACACAAGAGTTATCACTGGCACTTCAATCAAACCTGGAATGTTTTTCACATCCCAAAATGCTTTTGAGGCAGAAAATCCAAGTTTCAGGCATCACCAGGACATCACTCAGCAGCAGTGTCTGACCAACTGAACCAACAGGTGGCAAAACGCCTGCCATTCAATTTGGAATCAACTACCTAATCTTGCAAAAGTAACACCAAAATCTTTAATTACAGATCAAATTTTCAACACTTCTTGAAGCACCTCCCATTTTCTTCTGCAGCACACCAGCCAAATGCTGATGCATGAGAAAGGAAATAATCTCCTTGATGTCCTGAAGCAGCAGAAAGGCAGGTACAGACCACATTTTGCTTGTGTAATATCATCTTATRCGTACTTTGTACTGCTGCCATTCTGAAACATGAATTCCATAAAAATCTGATTTGGATTAATTCTGTCTGGCCTGGATTTGAACCAACTRAAAGCTCAGCTTCCCCTGCTTTTGCATATACGTGCAGATCTCTAAGGATGATGTCTAATTACATGAAAGCTAAGTGAGGTACTGTTAACTTTCCAAAATGAAAATTACATATTTATACAATACTACAGGAAACAAGCACCAAGTGATTTTAGTGGACACAATTATAGATAACGATAAAGGTATCAACGAAACACTTTCTACTCTGTGCATCTGTTTGACGTGAGTGCAACAAATTTATAGGCCAGTTCTGGGGAACAGTGGTTAAACAAAGATAAGCTAATGCTGCCCAGCCYGCATTATGAATTAGCATTATCCTTATTCCCAGGAAAACGCAAATACTCAGTCTTCCTTCCTCTAATCACTTAAGTTTGGCTCAAGTAATGAATTCTCTACTGGAAACAGGCAAGAGATCTAGCARTGAAGACAAACGGAAGGGAAAAAAAATTAAGTATTCTTGTCTTCCTATGGAGATAATTATAGACATGACTAAATAAACAGCCAAAAACCCTAAACTTTCTGGTCCATGAAGCCCCAGGTATTTCAAAAGCAGAAGGTATACAGAGCACAACAGCTCTCAGCTACTGGCAATGCTGTCCATAAATATATGACTCGCTATGAGTCAAGATTTTCCTAATCTTGATTTGAACACTCCTTGCAGTAATCGACGCCCAGGACTTCTTGCCTTACACTCTCTGTGGCCACTGAGAACAATTATTCAATTTCTTGCAGTAATCCCATTTAATGTACTCTATTTCCTCACCTCTCAATCTTCTAAAGAAGACAAGCCAAACACTTACTCTTTCCTCACTGGTCACGTTCATCAAATTTATTCTCTCCTCATCTTAACCAACACTGACACAAGGGGCTTTGTATATATTTAAAACAAAGCCCTGCCATCTCTGGATGAGGAAGATGGAAAAGTAGTGCTCCAAAAGGTACTACACTTGTTSTACAGGCTGTAATCACACCTAGAGAATTTGAAAAAAGGCAGAAATGGAGGCAGGAAGTTTCTCACACAGTGAGTCTTTGTTATACTTGAAAGCTTTGTTTCCTCAAGTCCCATATTGTAGCACTTAGAGCAGATACAAGTGGCTGCCACCTGCACAGAAAGAAACCTTTGACTTCAATACGGTCAGACAGAATTCTTTAACAAAGACRCAATGAACTTTAGAGCTAAAACTCAAGCACTTTTTTAGGTTGTATCATTTCTAAAAGTACCTGATTTAAGTGGCATCACACTTTTTCTAAGCAGCTTTTGCTTTTAGTGTTCTACGTAAGCATTAATTAACACCCTACTGACCTAGCATACTTAAAATTCYTCTTCTGAACAACCACAAGCTATACTGTTTTACAAGGAACTGCTAAAGCAYACAAACACTTAATACAAACATCAAGTGAGGATAAAGATGATTTTACAGTACTCACTTCCAATCACGAGATATAAAATACTGGAGCTCCAGGAGCCTATGCTCACAGTCCTCTACCATTTTCTCTGTATAYAAATGCTCCATCAGGCAAGACAAAATCCTGCAAACAGAAGAAAAAAGCCAGGCCACAGACTGTTATAATCATGYTGAGCTTCCCTGTAACAGCTGGTGTTGCCAAATCAGTCTTCCCAGTGAACCATAGATAAGATGTTCAAACTCAGTTAAGATCTTTCTCTTCCTTCAAAAAGATTACATCTAAAACAAGTGTGTATCAGATTTGTACCCTCTTATGTTCCATTGTTTTAGATATCTCACCAGCTCTATATGCAACAAAATCRTAAGGAGTATTTGATAGAAAATCTGGCTCAGGGGAGAATATATTATCAGATCTGAAGACAAAGGAGACACCTATCTCTGCAAGTATGAGTTTGCTCACCTGGCTTTTCCAGGCTTTTTACTTTGTGATATTGCTTGAGAGATATGTTGCCAGAGAAATTAGCATGTCAAATGTTACAAACTTACTCTGAGTGCCCGTGATAGCCCTTCACTAGTGCTAAACCTGTACTCCTATAGAAATACTGGCCTGCTTGTACAGCAAGAATGGAGACAGCTCAATCCTGTATGATGACTCTGGAGTCAGGATAGGTTTTGGTGTCTCCACTGGTCAGCCACACAATCTCCATGGATGCCCAACAGGAAAAAACCCACCAGTTCTAAGCGAGAGGCACCTACATGGGGTCTCCAGAGCGGATGTGCTTGCAGGCTGTCTGTATCACCGACTCACAGGCCTCGTTCAGCGCGCGGTCGATGCGATAATCRGCACCGGGGTCCGTTTCCTGAATCAGGGTTTGAAGCTGGAARAAAGGAATTGTGGATAGGAAAACAAATGTTAAAGACCTAAATGAGGGCACTTASAACCTTTCAGTGTGGCAATTCTTGCCAGTAACAACACCACAATGTATGAACTCTGCTCTGCTGTGTTTTATTTTAAGAGCTTGTGCTGCCAAGTCCAGCACTGCTGGACTCTAATTATCGTTATGAAGTAGCCCAGGAACATTGTGTGAGACCACTTACAGTCTGAAGGTCAGCTGTAAACTTGGGACTACTAATGTACCAATTTACAGAACAGGACTGGTAACATTTACACATTGTACTTTTGATTCATCTTAAGCTTTAGTAAAAGCCTCATTCCACACAGCTGATGATACCAGACAAATTTGTCACATTTTCATAAATACTATTTACAAACTGAAACCCAAATCAATGTCTGAAGATCATGGGTATCTCTACAAAGTCTAAACCAGCTTTTTGATTGCCTCAAGAGGACACAAAAGTTTTCTTGAAATACAGGATAAAATGTCCTGTTCTGATGCCCCATGAAGTAACTTTTCTTCCAGGATGCCTGCTCAAGTTTTTGGAAGTCAGGGTCTATAGTACACATTTTTTTAATATGTGTGTGTCTAAGATATAAAATAAATGCAGGACACTATATTCTAGCTACTTAAGAGAAGTCAYAGTGTAAGTGAAAAATGAAAACAAAAACTTCCTAAAGATTTAGASACCAGCCTGAAGCTGATATCCCAGCACTCCCTTTGTGATTTGCAAATATTTTCAGTTGCCATAAGTAAATACAGTATGAACAGTTCCATCAAGTTCTTTCTTCTTGTGTAAAGTCTATTCTGACAAAAGCTTCAGAAAAGCAATTCTMTCTTATTAATAAGGACATACCATACAACATATTTAGCTTCAAAATCAAATCGGGACTGTCCATGGCATCTGACCATGAATTTGAGAGGTGTCTACTGGGCCAGAAGAGAATTTGGGTAAATCTCAATTGATCTGTCGTTTTGGGGACAAGAGAAGCTTYTGGACCATAACTCAACCAAGCATATCCATGCCCCACTTCATTTTCCATCAAGCTGTGAATTTCCAAAGACTGATGGAAGGCAGACTGGTATCATCATTCAGCAGGCAAATTTGAAGRAAAAAAAAAAWGAAAGGTTGCTGAGAAAGCAACTRCACACCAGCATCAAATSGTCCATGCTCTTAACATCTTGACACTTAATTAATGATTTTTGTCACTGGCCCTCAGCCCAACTTAATCAAAAGCACAGTTACAATTTTATCATCTACCTTTCAAAGTCTGCACCTAAACACCATCCAGGAAATTCTCAGGGGCAAAGCCCTAACATCACAAAACACAGGCAAGAAAAAAGCATCAGAGAACTCGAGAAAATACAAGCTAGCACTATTTATCCAATARGAAACCTGCAGCCAGGAGGACAGACCACAGATTGCCTGGGAGGAACGCAGGATTTCCTGTGACTTGCTCTTAATTATGCCCAGCCTCAGCTTCTAAGGGATGCAGACAGCTGAGAAGAGCACTGTCTATCAAAAATTCTTGGGATATTTTCATTAAAAAATAATAAAAAACATTTGATACAACTCTGACAGTACAGAAGCCAGTACTGGTCCACTTTAACTGGCAGAAGTGAGTAGGGATGTTTTGTGTTCTTTACAAACTTGGTAAGAGTCACTGCAAGAGGGAGAATAATATTGTGGTTTTGCTGGTGCAGACACACACACAGCCTGCATGGATGGGCAATACTCTGCGTGTCAAACATTGGGATTTCATGAAGTCTGGTGACTTACACATCAAAAAGGTTCAAGTACAATTAGTGCATTTTATTCCCTTGAGGACAAACAGAACAAATAGGGTGAATAGAACTTCAAACCCAACACACTCTTACACACACAGATAAAATAAACTAGCCAGAGCATTATGTAGGCAGGACTCATCTGCAAGTTTCAGTAATCGGTATTTTTGTTGCTATTAAGGGGAAGAGGCCAAAGCACATCAGGTACAACAGCTCAGAAGCACTGAAGCACCTCCTTATCCCTCCACCTTTGGTTTGGGCACAACTGAAGAACTCCCAACCTCAATTCTCACATGCAAGATATGCAGTACCAAGCCAGCTGCCCTGACTGCAGGGAAGAAGGAATAATTTGGCACCAGTGATAAAAGCGAAGGTTGTATAGATGTTTCCCCCCTTGCACAACAAACCCTTACAGCTGAAATGCAGCTGGATAAACTTTACAATCCTCTGAACTTTTATCCCAGACACAGAGCTAAATTAACAATGAACTACCAATTCAACAGCTGTATTAGAAATTGGAAGCGAGAAATATATGCCCTTTTAGCAAGGATTGGAGTTTTATACGCTCAAGGATCTGAGCAGAAAAAAATTCCAGAGATGAGACCAGGGACACATAAAAGCCATGTATTTGAAAAACAATTTGTAAACTGCTCTAATGTAAAATACTGTTTCCACCAAGTCACACCAGAAGTGCTAAACACTGCCAGTCCAGCTGCAGACCTCTGAGGGGCTGATACTCACAATTAAGTGACACTTTATCTCCTATCTAATGACCTACCACAGTGCACACACACACCCTCCCTGGGKGCAGGATCCCTTATGCCCACAGTTTGGCACAATGAGGCCCAACACACATCCAGGGATTCTCTTTCAACTTAGGCTGAACCATTTACAGAAAGTCATTGCTCCTCAACCATTCACAGAGCTTTAGTATTTTGGCAAGTTCATGCTCAAACTAAGATAAAACCCCCACACAGCTCTGACACTCAGGTCTAGATGTGCTTCTTGCACCACAGCACAGTTWGGTGTGAGCACAGACTCTCACATGGCAGATCACTCTGGCTAAGGTGTCTCACAAGAAATGGAACTTCTCAGCTTAAAATACCAGGGTTTGAGAATGTCTAAGAATGCATTTTGTTGACAGTTTGAAATACAAATAATCACTCATAATCCACCTGCGGAAAGGGTATGAGTCAATGCTCTTGCAGGAAAATAAAATGAAGGTTCTTTGTTGTTTTAGGATTCTTTATGTTGTTTTTGGCAGACAGGCAAACATCTTCCTTTCATAAGACAAGAAGAATCAGAGCAAACCTTCACAGACAGGGCAATAAGTAAACCAGATCCAAATTAGAAGTTTGCCCTTCCAATTGCCTTCAGCAAACTGTCTTAGGCAGATGTATCTGGTCACAGAGYTTCTACAAGGAAGAATTTCAGGACAAGACCTATTGCTTTGAGTTAGCCAAGAAATCAAGATGGTGCATTAGCATTATCTACAMAGGGACGTGAGTTCTGGACTCTGCAGAAAAGACAGCATCTTSAGATGGACCCAAAACACTACAGCCAGCTTTGCTGGGACCACCCCAGAGCCCCAGTGCTGTTCTCCTGTTTCTGTGTTCTGAAAATGTGGAGGTGCCACAGACCAACAGCTCCACCATCAAGAGCCACAGCAGAACCACACATCAAAGGTGCTYTCTAGGTACCCAGAAAGAATTGAAATGGCTCCAGCTTACTCTGAAGGACTGATCTCTAACTTGCCTTCTTCAAGGCTTGCCATATGGGCCAACCTCATGCAACTTCAAGGAGCTGGAGCCTCTTGCACAAGTTTCACAGTATCTGGAAGTTTCACATAATAGTCTCTTCCTTGCAAGGATAATTTATCTACCTTGGAAGGTAAAAGCAGAAAGCTCATTCTAACACAATAAATCAAAACACAACAAAGCCACTGACAGCTGAGACAAACCTTACCATCCAAATATGAAAAATAGGAATAATAAATTATTTAGTACTTCAAAAGTTGTAGGCAGCTATATAATAGCACCATGTCAGTCTTCAGAAACTCAGAACATTGGAATGTTTATCCTGTTCTTGCAATCATCTATTTCCTCTTGCCCATAAAAATCCAGGCAAGCTAAATATCATTTATAAAATCAAAGCCTAATTTGCTTCTGCTGTCCTTTGCCCAGAGAACAAAACACGTTTAACTTGAAGGGGAGTCATGGACAATCCTATTTACTATTGCATCAACTTACTGTAAAAAAAATAAAGCAGTTGCCTATATATAAGAGAACTAAAAAACCTCCAAACCTGCTCTAAATTCCTAAAGATATTATTTTTCTCTGAAAGTCTGAAATCCCATGTCACTTTTGGGGGGATCTCCTGTTTTCTGACTTATGACTTATTCTGAACATGCACTTCATGATCTAAAAGTTATCTCCAAGATTAAATGAGCTTATGAATATGTGCAAATAAGGAAATCCAGAAGCAGCGGTTTCAATTTCATATTTAAACAGAAACAAATATTCAGTTTTTCACACAAAGGCTGCAAAGCGCTAGTCATGCACTACAGAGCCCYGCAGGAATGACTCAAACTGTACAGCTGCTGCACCAGTACACCTGGTATTTATGCAGAAATAAGCTTCATCACAAAAGCACCCTATGCCTTACAAAAATTTAACAGGTATTAATTTATCTTTGATAATACACACCAACTGGCATTATTGAGGGCTCAAGTTTTAAGCTACATTTACAACAAAAATGTATGGAACAGTGGTTCCRTATATTGCAAGAGGTCAAGAGCATACATTTCCCCAAATTTCTACATCAGCACTTACACTCCCTTGCCATTTTTATCCTTGATGTCACTTTCCTRGGCTCACGGGTCATTAAAACCAATTATTAAGTACAATAATGTACAACCATATTAAAAAGCAGTAATGAGTTTGAACAAAAATTAAATTATTGTTTTCAATTTAAAGAAATGATAAGCAGGATGTATTTGGGCCAAAATGGAGTTTAAACAAGGCAAAAGAAATATCCCATTTTACAGAGGTATTTTGGAGAAAAATGACATTTCCTTCACAGGCTGCAACTACATCAACACACAGCAGTCTGCTGTACTTCCCTGTCCCTGAAGTTCTATTTCCATCATTAAAGCTGAATGAAATAGCAAAAATAAAATTGAGTGGGAAGGTGCTTTGAAAGGTTTTGTGATTTTCAAGGACAGGGCACAGGGGGAAAAGGGAAGGAGAGGGGGAAGGAGAAGAAATGTTTTAGAAGTATAAAAAGCAAGTTTCCCCATAYCTTGCACCCAGGAGAGAATTCCATGACTTCAAAGCTGTTGGAGAAGAACTACACAAGATCCAACACAAAATCCAGAGCACAACAATCCAAAACGTGTTTTTTGAGGGTAAAAACACCACCCTTACTGATGYGCCGCTAGATACCAAGTTACACTTTACAGCACAGCAATTACACAACTGCTTACAGCATTCAGYGGCACCCAGCAGAGCCAGCCTGACTTCAGCAGAACCTCCATTGCAAGACAAAATGTTGACAGACAAATCAATGCTTCTACCAACTGAGCAAACTMTAAGTGAAGTGATAGGAAAGCTCCTTACTGCCTGCTGACAATTGAGGCCGACGTTTCCCTTTTCACCCCGGACAACTTTCATCAGGCAGTGCAGGGTGCGACCCTTGCGATGGAGGCCGGAGCAGTGGTGCTCGATCTCCCCTCGGCAGCTCAGGATGATTTCTGGGCTCAGYGAGAAGTCTTCCATCAGCATGCGCCGGTAATCCAGCATTTCACCCTGGCACTCACTGCTCACTTGTCGACCTGAGCCAAGAGAAGATGATGTGATTTAGTTTCAATGGTTAGCAGAGCCCTTCTTCACCTCTGCTACCAGCRTGTTCCAAGAGTGGAGACAATGTCCACACTCTGAACAACACCAGACCGTAACAAATGTGCCAGAGCATTTGTGCTGGGGAATAAACCATGGTTGTGGTAGCTCCTGTCATTTAAACAACACTGTAAAATACAGCCAGTCTAGGGATTTAACACAGGTTTTTTAAAAAAGAATTCCTGAAAGATTAGGATAATCTCATTTTGGATTTCACGTTACAGGGATTGCTTCTGAAAAACAGCTGAAAGCACTCATGGATCTGCAGTTCTGTAGCATAAGTCAGCCTTCCCGCATATGTTCAAGGGCTCCTTTTCCCACTGTAGAAATCACCTTTGGTAGTTCACCGGCTTGATATGTAAGTGGGAGAGGAATTTGTTTGGACAGCAGGTTAAACATCTTTTCCAAGGAAAAGGTTTTCTAGGGCAATAGCACTTACATGTTCAGGAAGCCAAATATCAGACTAAAACAAGAGTGTATATGGAGTGTCCAACAAACCACTGCAGCTGCACAGAAATCATGCTGTAGTAAATGCTTAGATCTGCTCTAAGGTTTCCTGCAATCCCCATCACAAGCTATTCATATTTGCACARCATCCCATGGAACAGAGGACACCCCAGCAGGGACTGCCAGGCATTGTAACACATGCACATGGTGCTGTGTGGAATAATTAGTGTTCCTCCTGGGCTACGTCTCATGCATCAGACACTACAGAACCTGTTCCTCCATGAAAGTAAATAATGAACAGCAATTTTCCGCATGTAATTCAGGAAATCACCTGCCCTACTGCAGGGAGAAGTAAAAAAAAAAAAAATCCCACAACTTTTCTACAAACAGGGCACATCATTTCCACATCAATCAGATGCAATRAGTTATTCAAATGCACAAATGCAGAGACTGCTTATGGAATTATGGCAGCCTTTCCATCCCATGCCAGAGGCACTGCAGCATGCAGCCCCGCTGTTCGCACTGAAACCACACAGATGCATGCCAAGAGGAAAAACAAGCAGTTCTCCAGTGCAGATCTAGAGGATGTACCATGTTATGGCAATTCTRTAGAGAACCTTTAGCATGGGCCAGAATCCAGCTGCATTGGGCCTTCTAATGCCTTTGGGGACAGCAGTTGGTGTTAGGACACCTCCAGCTTCCATGAACTTAAATGATCAAAAGTAACATTCTCACACTTACCTGCCTTCTACATAGGGGAAAACCAGACTCAGAGAAATTAAGGCATTTAACCAAGCTACTGAACTKCAAGAAAAGACATTATTTACAGCAGGCAGCAGACTGAGTATCCCTGGTTTTCCCTGAGTGAGGATAAACAGGTTCTCTATTCTGTGTTTTAACCTTGTAGCATATTTAATGCTTATTACACAATGGAAGAAAAGAGCTGCTTGAATTCACAGTGAATAGAAGGATTTGCAACTACACATCAGCAGTCCAAGGGGGATTTGCTATTTTGCATTTTAAACTTCTTGTCTGCACAAAAGGAGTCAGTGGCAGAGGGGTTTACTCAGCTATTCTGATCRTCAAAACAACAGTGATGAAAGCACCATGATGAGGAAATTTGCCTTTGAAACAAAGTTTGGAAAAAGGCTCTTGGAGAAGGGGACTGTAAATACACGTTGAAACTAAAAGTCAGCTTCAGTCTTGAATTCTGCTTACCTCTGTGCACAGCAGACTCTAAGCACATCAACAGATAGGAAAGCCGAGCTTCCCGAGAGCGGGGCAGGTTCTCCACGTTACAGCGGTACTTCTTCAGGTCACTTTTACAGGACTTGGCCAGCGAATAACTGACTTTGTAGTCTTGGGCAATGAGCTTCTGSCGGGTCGTCAGCGCATCACGACACTGCAGGAGACACATTGGGAGGGCAGAATGAGCTTCTGTGCACCGGTGGAGAGGGCTGGACCTGCCACTGTCAAGTTGTATCTCAGAAAACAACTGATACTTTCAAATTCATGTGTTTAAGCTGGACCGCAGCTAAATTTCATTTGTCTCCTAGAAACCACACAGTTAACAATGCACATCGAGGTCAACAGATCAGGGGTTTCAAAGGCAGCAGCTCTCTGCAGAGCAGTTCTCAAAACTGCACATTCATCCAGCTTTTTGTGAAAAGCTACGGCTGAGAGCGTGACTCATTCATGGTAACCAGRAGCAGTTGCTGACATTTATCCCAGCTGTGGTACATGCTCACCCCATGCCCTCAAGAAAKAACTTTTTCCAGTTCCATTTACAAAATACTGCATTTCTTGGATTTGTTCTGCAAAGCACTGAGCAGATGATGGCAGATAAAACAGTCTAACCGTGGGAATTTCTAGCCTTTTTCCACMACTGGTGAGGTTCATCAGGATGCACTGCGGCCAAACTTGAACCCAGCAGCTGCAAGAACAACCCTCTAAATTTCATTAAAAAAAATGCCTGTAAAAACACTGCTATATTTGATAGCTTTTGGTTTAAATTATGGGAAAATTAAATCTGAGTGCAGCAGATAACTCAGAATAGCTCAAGCAAATTTGTCCATTCCCAGCCCACTTGTAAGGAAGGAAAASAGCAAATGTGTAGGGTAGGGAGAAGAGGGAGCAGTCTTGGCACAAGGAACAGAAAAGCCCTAGAACCCATTCACCACTTTCTTACATCAGGTTTTTCACTTTGCCCCCTTCTTCCCACACCTACTCAAGAACCTGGAAAGCCCTATTCCAAGATATTCTCACTCCCTCTTTCAYGCTCCTAATGCCATGATTGGGACTGGATAAAATTACAGCTCTGGACACAGGGAGATGCAGGCTTATCCCCTAAAGTAGGGAAAGTCTGAATACAGCCCGGGAGCCAGTTTTGGATGACACAAAGTGAGCCACCCACCAGCAGCTATTGCTGGCTACATGTGTACGCAGCAGCCGATGCCATCAGCACGGAGGGACTCTGCTGGGTAACAGCTTCTACAAAACCAGTGACTTTGCAGATGGTCCAACCTTGGCAGCTACAAGAGTGAGAACTACATTTAGTGTTCCTTCTGCTCTGCAAACTGTGTCCTCAGAGCATCCACCCCTCTCTCTTTACAGAGTCATCTGCTGCAGCTTGGTCTAACCTCTCTACATCTCATATTTGTACTTCAGTCACCTGATCACAGAAAACACCGTTCAAAAACGACCAGTGTCCCTGTATAACTAAAAAGAGGTTAAGCAATACAGTAGTTCATTTCAGTAACAGRTTTGTACAAAATAGAGCTTTGTTTCAAGACCTCAGCAATCACTCGTTCAGATTTGAAYTTGTTAATTGGAACCAAGCTGTCARACAGCTAATGCATTTAACACAATAAGAAAATTAATCTGATCCCTCCAGCACTCTGAATCAGGCTCCCTTCAGTGGGTTGTCTATGAGGAGAGCTTTACAGATACTCATCTTCACATCCTTTCCAAGAGATTATAATTTCATATAATCCCACACACTATGATGCTGCTTCTAAAATCACTGAAGGCACTGCTGCCTTAYGAAGCACCTATACCAAGACAAACTTTTCAGGACTAACCTTCTAGAACAACTTTTTTTGCTGTTGTTGAAAACTACATCTTCAAGAAAATYGGAAGGAAAACTTTAGTCATTGAACTGTGCATCTTTACCACAAAGTGTGCTGCTTGAAAACAGCCTTAAAAACACAAGTCAAAGTAACAGTTCCCTTTTTGTTTCTGATCTGTACAATTAGACCAGCATTTATCCAAGGCTTACCCCAGCACGTTGCTACTGCTACTTTAAACAGTCAATCACAATGCTACCACTTGAGCTCCATGTCTGCCTTCCCAAATTCCTCAACTAAAAGCTTTGATTTATTTAAATCCTTAACTTTAAAGGCTGAAACTTGAAACACAAAAATATCAAAGTAAAAGCATTTGTTAAAGCAGCCGATTATCTGGCCACATAGATGACAGATTTTCCTTAACACTGGAAAAGAATAATGCAGCCTGGACTGAGGAACGATCTGATGATTTCTGCAGCAAGGATTTATCTCACCAGGATACATACCTTTTCACTCATTGATTCTTCAAACTTGTGATTAAAGAGGCACTTGTATACTCGGCCTTCCCCAGCCTGAGTCTGTGAAACAGAACAGTAACATTTGCCATTAAAGATAAGACTTGTAACATTTAATGAGCAGGCCAAGCTACACCTGAAGAGAATTTAAAAAAAGAACAAATAATATATTCGAGTTAATATTTCAAATGACAGTGATAGCTTCCATACAGGAAAAATCCTTTAAATTTTATTGCATTTTKAAAAAACTGGTCATGTTCATCACCCTTTTAGTGTGAAAACTCTCAGCTAATACAAGTTAATTGAGACTGAACAACGCAGCTCTCCAGCTCATCACTCCAGGGATAAGAAGTGCTGCAAGTACAGTCAGACCAGGCTTACCTTGTGCAACAGCTCACAGCTGCAGGAGAGGTCCCTCAGCTCTGCCTTTCCTCCCCCACACTCTGTCACASCAGCTCTGATGCCCATTAAACAATTATGCCAATTCAGTTCATTAACCCATTGGAAGAAATGCTTATTTGTTGGGTGAGTGAATTTRATACTGGATTTATTGTAAAATTACACCTACAAGGCATCTGCTTTCAGTATTATATCGAGGCTCCAGTCTACAGTTCCATTCCTTTTTCTAGAGAGGTTTTGTTTTTGTTTTTGTTTTTTTTTAATGGATTACTGCAGAGAAAAAMCAAGAGGAAAGTACTCACATTTTCACAGAATCGCTCTCTGTCATCTCGGCATGCAAAGTAGAGATGCCGGTCCAGGTGGAAGTCATCTGAAGAGAGCTCAGCTACACGGAGAATTGCTTTCTTGCACTGATCAGAAACCTGGATGCGAGGATCAGTCTCCTCTGCCTCTTTTACCAGGCCTTTCTCCAAGCATGCCACCACCTCTCCTTGCGAGTGAGCATCCTATGTGAAAACAAGGCAACATCTCTAACCAAGCTTTTACATAATCAAGTGATCTGTAATTCCGGCTAAGTACCACATTAATTAAGCAACAAACTGTCTACGTATAGACTTCCCAACATTCAGCCTAAACCATGTTTAAATGCAGAGGAGGCAACAATTAATACCTGTATTAACCACACTTTACACATCACCATCCCGCTGATGGTCACCATGAAATCCCCCCCTCCAATGCTCTGGGCTTGTTTTAATGCGACTTAATGAGATTATCACTACTTAGTCACACTGCTCAGAGCAGTTTACCAAAACAGCCAAATTATCTTTAATCTGACACAGCTCTCTTGGCACCATGGCAACAGCAAGCAACAGCATCACATTAAGAAGATACTTGAGGAGAGAAAAATCATAGTTTTGCCATGTTGAGACAAGCCTTCAGTTCCGGTGGTGAAAATTTGTGATGTGAAAAAGGCCACAAAGGAGCTTTGACCGATGTAGGCTTCTCAAAGCTAATTTCTCCACTAAGAGAATAAAAAAATGCAAAGCATTCAAGATTAGACAGAGGCCTCGGACAAAGCAGTTCTGGCCCAGTGCTGTGCACCACATCCACTGTCCTGCAGGCCTGCAGACAATCTCAGACTTTGAGCAGTGACTGCCAATAAACACAAAGAGTCTGTGTTTTGTTTGAAAGCCTGAAAGAGGCAGGACAAAGCCCAGCAAAGCTCCTTTTACGTGTTTAGAAAGAGAACCATGCCCCTTCCATACCTCTGTAGAAGGTCTGGTTCCCCTAATAAACATGGACTCTTCTGGTACAGACTCATCAAGGCTTCTGCAAGTTTCTTATGTGAAGGCCACCTTAATTTATGCTGCTCTGCTGCAAGAGGATATTGCCACTAAACTTAGACTAAGTATGCAACCAGGCATGCATGTCCACATTCAGCTGAATCACCCAGCCTGGCATTTGTAGTCACCATTTAGGAGCCATTCCGTCAGCTCRCTCTGTCAAGCAGATCATCCACTGCTGTTGCAGGAGCATGACTAAGAGAGCAGTCTCCATAAAACACGTCCATGACTACTCAAAGTCACACAACTCTCCCAAATCTTTTTGTTCTGACGTGTCTCCTTACACAGATGGCCTTTGACTSCTGTCTTAGTTCTGCTACACTTGGAGCACAAGCAGAATTGGTTGATTACTTGTTAGCTCGTAAACACAACCCAGAAATATCAACAGTTTAAAAGCACTAAAAGCTGTGTTCTCCTACCAAAAAAAAAAAAAAAAAAAAAGAAAGCAAAAAATCCAAAACCCACACCCCCCAAAATTTCTTCTTTTAGTTTGCTCCTTTCCTTGAGAACTGGCTAATTCCATATGCTGAGCAGGTATCTTTGAAGAAATATAATTATATATCAATACTCCCTTTAGGCCTGAACCTCAAATTGGAATTCTGAGGAATACTACTCAGAAGTATGTTTGCCACATCACTTAAAATTGCCATTTATCCATAACCACATCAAACACAAACTTTGTTCTGCAAACCCTCATGGTCAGTCTAAGGTAGTAATTACAGCTGAGAGATGTCAAGTGTGACTGATTGAAAACAACCATTTTAAGCTCCTCTGGCACATTTTTGCTCCTGTCTAAGTGAAGTTGCAGCTGGGAGGCAAAGCAGACCAAGGTTATTTTCACTCACCTGCAGCTTCCCTTTGCTAGCAAGGAGGGCACAAGGCAAGCTATTCCTGCTAGGAAAATCAGCAGCTTCCTGGTTTATTGCAGTGTGGGTTTAGATTCCCAGCCTGAGTCAGACTATATATGCAACCCATTTTTAACAGGAAATATGGAAAGCACGTTTCCATATGCTGGATGCTGAACATTTGCTGTTACACTTTAGGGACACAACATGAAATGGCTCATTTATTGCATTACTTTGCTAATACAGTTTTTACATTTAGAACATCCTGCAGTGCTGGCTACTCTGCTGCCCTGTGTTASAGCAATTTTAAAATGTCAGACTCAAGAGAAACACACACAAAATAACCCATCTGACTTCTGAAGCATGTCCTTTCCTCCAACCATCAAGCATTTACATGGAGGTGTCCTTGTGCTGCCCCTAAGGTTCCTGTGCCCACATGATCCTGTTTGGAAGATTTACTGACCTAATCTGGGATTCATTTGCAGGAAGATCAGTTTCATGGAGTGCTAGTGTTGACTAGTTAAGCAATTTTAACGAGAGTCTAACTCTTTATTTCCTCAAAAGTGCACGAAGGCACCCACACTATTGCCAAATAGAGCATGGGACTCTACAAACACGGTTTAGAGAAATATCACTTGGAGCTTTAATTATAGGGCAACACCTACTGTATTTAATATTGTACAATCTCTTATTGCAGACTGGAAGGAAAAACAAACATGTGTACAGCTGCACTCAACCATCATGTTCTAAAGCAGCTGGCAACCAAGGCTCATCCTGAGGATGGCAGGACAACTTTGACACTCATCGGTGGTACCTGCATCACTTCCCAGCTCTACAGCACACACAGCTGCCTGTTCACACCKGTGTTCCATGTGCCAACAGTCCTGCACAGTCAGCTCTGCTTCACAGACACCAAAGCCAAAGGTCATCATCCCYCAGTCCTGCTCCAGCACCAGCTGCCTGGTGTGAAAGGGTAAAACACCTTCTGCAGCGCTGCTGTGGGATGAATCCCAAAAAAGATTTTCTACCATCCAGCTCCCACTGTCAGAAAATCCCCATTGCTGCGCTGAAAATATCTACATTCACTCCAAAACTCAGGACTCCTCCAAACTGCTACCTGTTTATAGAGACTAGGCCTCATTTCTMCAGTGCAACACACTGAAATATAAGAGATTAAACCTAAAAAAACAGATGTGATKTTGGAACATTGCATCACCACCACTRTCAAGCTTTAAATGGAGGAYTTTAACTGAAAGTTGCWAATATCTGTAAWGCATAYTAGATAATTATCTAGTCTGGAGAGCCTTGAAACTCTTCATAGTTTYATGAAAGGATATACCTAGATCCACAAAGGATACAAGCATCTTTCCAATATTGTTCCACAGCACTTTGAGCCACAGAGGAATGGAATTAAGGTCTAAATGTGCCCAAGCAAACCCCTTCAGCACAACACTTTGGGAGATTTGAATTCCTATGAMTAAAATTCAAACTCCAGGCATGCAGCTTTAGGCCAAAACAGAACTTTAAAAACATTGGGCTTACTATTGATTTTCTGTTAGAAATTTCACTTTCCCCCCAGTCCAGTTTAAGCTTTGCCACTGTTGGTGATTTTTTTTGGTAATTTTTCAGAAGTTTCCCCAAAAGGAATTTATCCTGTCTGAAACCTGAAATGCCTCAAGTACACATCTGCTCCAGCTGCAGCCTTGCAGAGAGAAGCTAGAAGAGTGATYAGAAGAGAATGAAGAGCAGGAAGAGGCAGCAGGCAGGAGGGTAAAACATAACCTGTCTCATCAGCATAGCACCCTGCACCAGACAGTTGTGCCAACCCACTGGAGCCAAAGCAGCCAGGTTATGGAAAATCACCCAGCAGACCTACTGGGAGCTCCAGTTCCACCTGGCTAATCCCCACACCAGGGATGCTGGGATGTCTCTTGGATTAGCTAATTTCCAACACTTCAGCTGACAGTACACTGCGTAACACTACWCATACACTGCTACACTACTACACTGAGTAAACAAGGACTGAGCTGAGTGTTATCATCGCTTCCCKTTCAGACTCAGTTTCTTCTGTATCCAMTAYCTTTGTGAAACTAAGGAAAGAAAGCAACTGTACTTGAAGCAAACASAAACAAAACAGAAACAAGAAAACAATGGTCTCTTAAGGTATCTTCAGGAAAAAAACAATTTTCTCATAAAGTACTGCAAGAGATGTAGTAGTAATTGATACTTACGTAGCCTTCACTATGACAAAWAATCAACTACAGCTTGGACATCATGGCTAAATAGCACCCTGAAAACTACACACAACCCACTACTTTGATACAATCCTGGACATGACTGGGATTGGGAGAGTAGCTCATTTCAATCAGCAGCTGAAGAAGAAAAGCTCCACTGCAATTACCCATTTCAATTTCAAATTAGATCCCTATTGCATGAAGATAAAACAAYTTCTAAATACCAGGAGACCAAATTCATTATTCAGCAGAACAACCAGCTGGAGAGGTGACTGAAACTACTAATAAATGTTTCTCCATTAGCTGGAAAAAGATAAAGACAACCCCTCACAAACACCTCCACAACACAGGTATGTCAGAAAACTTAATGCTTTCAAATGACACATCTACAGCCTTGCTACATGCAGCAAAATGAAGTCTAGGCACAGATCAAGACTTCTAAGCTGAACTTTATTGCTCTTACAGAGCAGAAATCCAGCTAGAAATGGGAAAGAAAGCACAGAAACCACCACATCAGAAGCAACTAACTCAGCAGGAACAGAATTCAATTAGGAAATATCAAGCAAGCTGAAACAAAAAAAAAAGGAAGTACAGAAAAGGAACATGGTTAGCTAGCAGAGAAGCTTCAAGGGGCAGGGTAATTCCAGATTATCAATTTAAGTGCCTTTCACAGTGAAAAATGCCAGTTTATCCCAGTTACTCTGATGAAGGTATTATACTGCAATCTACTGGCTGCCTGAWGTGAACTGAGTTCATGGTCTAGCTGTGCTTATTTCCATAAAAAAGAGAGAGCCTCTCTTCTCCCATCTTCCCCCTCAGGTGTCCAGGTCCTATTTATTACATTCACAGTTACCTTCAGTCATACAAAAGGGTAATGACTGTTTCTCTACAGGTAAATCTCAGGAGCTACAGCATGGAAATAAAACCTTAACCAGCATCTGATGGGAGCAAATTAGATTTCTCCAAAGCAGCAAAAGGATGGAACAGAACACCAACAAAAGAAATGCTTGCATAGCCATTTATAGCTGTTTCCATAGCAGTATAGAGTACTTCAATTGCTCTAAGTGCCAAGGATGACAGCATAACAAAAGATATATGACAGGCTGCAACGCTTTCACAAACCACAGCACAATATTCKGGGTTGGGTATCAAGGAAAGTGAGRAATATGCATAAASTACAGCAGACCCCATAGAAGWTTGGTTAGTGATCACTTTGCTAGCCCACAGAAACTTGGTGAGCCTAAGTTTCCCTTTTCCTGGTGTCTTGTGACCTCAGCCACCCCAGCCATCCTCCTCCTTCACCCATCTGACCTGACATACACAGTGGGTTGTGCACACAGGGCTGCCCACACTGGCTTCACTCCTACCACGTGAGATTTAGTTTATGTTTACAAAATCCCGTCTSCTGTGTCCCCTCAGTGCTACCATAAGTATTTTAATTTATTTAAATTTGGTCAAGTCATAGACATTATGCAGACCTGATACGCACGATTCCCATACTACACTTCTGGTTCTATATTGAATTGTTAAAAGCAATTTCTCATTCTTGTTTCATGAGGTCTTTCAGCCCAGTATTAGAAGACAGCCTTTACTTTATGAAGAAAGCAAGTYATTCAGCTGTTACCAGGCTAAACCTATTGTGCCTACAAGTTCCTCACCCTTCCATAGTTGCTTTTGTTCTTAAGAAACAAAGCATTAAGAAATGAGTCCCTAATACTGTGTTTTCTGTGGCTCATCTAAGGCTTCTGGAAAACACTAGCWCTTCAATTTATCACACAAAGGATGTGAAGCTGCTTATAGCCATGAATATCTCAAACAACTAGGAAAGTTTCTTTTTTCAACAAAAAATGTGTATCTTATTACAAACCCCTCATTAATAGCTCATTTATGAGACTAATTGTCATAAGCATAAAAGCTATAATTTAAAAAGCACTGTAAAAAGCTGATAGGCTAATTTTAACTTTATCCCTAAACATAAAAACTTAACATAGAAAAAAATCACTCATTCCTGCAGCTCTACATAATTGCTGCCTGCATTAGGTATGCTGAAGTAGACAGGGAAAGACAGCCCTTGAAAATAATCCCACATCTAGTCACTATGAACTGTTCTTTGCATCAACCTCTGCTTAAGTCTCACRTGGCAAAAGAACACTGATTTATTAAAACCAGGTCTGTACTACTAAAATATGACACCATGTATTTTGTGCCCTTCAACTGATTTTGTGGGGGCAGAGGAAAGGAAAAGCAAAGAGATAAAAGCTTTTGATCCAGTCTATCAACTACAGCAGGAAGGGTTATAGCACAGGCATCATCACCTTGATAACCTTCTTGCCAGACCCAACCAGACTGTGAAATAAATCAAGCAATAGACCTGCTTAAATCTATTGTTTGGATTCACTGTACCCAGTCAAGCTTGGGAGGGCCTCATCAGAGAGACAACTACCTGCCAGATCGCCTGTACTGGGGTGCAGAAAATGAAAATCTCTGCATGGCAACTCCTCAGAGAGGAATGAATGCATATTTATTAAAAAAGAAGTGCAAACTATCAGGACATCACCCTTTTCAGACAGATGAGACACACTATGTATTTTCTCAGTTGCAAGTAAGACAGTAAAACTACTGCAGAGCCACCACATCAGTTTCCTGAAGTCAGTGACTTTTACAAGCCTATTGACAACCCACATGTTCTCCAGATACCTTTTCTCCAGGTCGAATGCTGCCGCATTTCAGGAGATTGATGTCAGCTTTGCAGTCATCCATGAAGCCACAGATCAACCGATAATCACTGAAGATAATGGCTGTCATTTTAGTGATGTACTGATGGCACTGGTATTCAGTGATGTTCCCTCTGTGATCCACCAAACATGACACCAAGAACCCTTTACCAACTGGTTCATCTGCACATTCCTTTATCTGTTAAAAAAAAAAAGAAAATTACAGTGGCTGCAGSTACTGAATTTAACCTTATAAGAAAATCCTCAAAGAAACTTGCATCTGAAGCTTCAAAATCTGCTAGCAAAGAAACSCTCTGGGCTTAGTTTGATTTTCAGTAAGTCAGAATAATTGAAAATATTTCAGAAATGAGAAATCTTATGTGTGCCAGCATCTGAAAAAAGCAAACACAGCGACCTTGAGGATTATAAACTCTATTGCTCAATAATCATCTTTCATAATTACACTGAACCCCTGCAATCAAGCAGACTTGTAGGAAAAATGCTAGTTTGACAAACCTTTATTTAGAAAACTGAGCATATTACAACATCTCTAAACCATACTTAGGCCCCCACTAGACACCTGACCTTGTACAATATAAGATTTTGGCCAGATTTTTATTCAAAAGTCAACGCTATTTATGGAACTGTTTATAACTTGCTGGGAGATGAAAATTACTATAAAGGAAAATCCTCATCAAATTCATTTCTATGAGGCTCTTGCATGAACTGATTGTTGGTACTAAAACCATTTTACTCGGTGGTCTAAAAAAAGTAAAAATCACAGCTAACCAAAGCTGAAAGCTGTGAGGGGAATGGAAAAGCAGTGAGCAAGAACAGACAGGTCCCCAATATAAATCACAGCCTGCACTGCTCAGGGAAGCAGACAGTCAGGCCAAACCCGCCACCTCTGGAAGTAAAAGATGCAGGCAGTTTTGACAGTGTCTTTCCAAAGGAAGGGGAAAACATGGTTACTTATCAGTTAAGGATGATCCCTGGAGGAATCTTTTGATAACAGCAGTGCAATGCTTCGCTCTAAGGAGCACTGAGACTACACAACTCTTTAACTCTGGCAAGCCTGTGCTGAAATACTGCCCAGTTCTGGTGGCCCCTGTTTTGGTGGGTGCTGAAAACCATAGCCATAATGCTGCAGAAAGAGCTCCTGGCAGGCAGACACTAAAGTTCAGTGGAGACAGGTTTGCAAGGAATAGATACATGGGCTGACTTGATTACATCAAAGATTTGCCCCTGTAAAAATACTGAAGGGCTCATCAATCTCAAGGAAGATCTATGGCAATCAATAATTCTGGCAGTTTCAGATAACAAGCAAGGGCAGCGCTAAGGGAACAGGCAGGAAACCATTTTATTGGTTCTCAAATACCAAGTTGGAATATTTATATTGGAAAGTTTAAAAAATGGAGAGCTGTCTCTAGGAAGATATATTCTAATTCAAACAAGAATAACTCAGGGCACCCTGTGACAGACTCACACAGCACAGGTCAGACTRGATGAATAAAACAGATTTCTGCCTCCGCTTATGAGGCCATTATTTTCTATGTAACAAATAAAACATTCAACATTTCAAACATCATTATTTGAAGGCAGATGTAGGCTGATGAAACRTTTTATATTTAATCTAAATAGCTCTTAGAAAAACAGTTATTAAGGTCAATGTAATTGTTACAGATAAGGTGTAAAATACATTTCAGAAAAAAACCACATAGAATCATTGCAAGGTGAAAGGGGGAGAGTTGAGCAAGTGCTCACTGAGAAAGCTGCATCTTTGGTTTGGCCCTACTTCTACTCAAGTACTGCAAGCCAAACCAGCACACAACGGCAACATGCTGTTTTTGGAAGAGTCTGGCTTTGGAAACAGCCCCAGAGCTCCATGGCCTGAGCCACTGAACTGCAGAAAAYACCAAGCGATCATGTTATTGCCAGGCCACTTCTGAAACACCCACTGTTATCTGCTAGCCAACTATAATTCTAGGTTAAAGCTCTTGTCAGATCTTATAAAAACCACAACAGCTGAGGAGAAAAGAAATTGAAACTAAAATCTGTATTTAGCTGATAAAATTAAAGGTGCACTTTTCAGAACATACCCATACCCCTTTTCAGAACATACCCATACCCAATTGGGTCAGTCACTATTTCCCAAATTACTTTTTCTAGGAATTGCTCTTCTAGTTGCATTTTGTTCCTAGTGCAAAGTAAGACTTAAAACAGAGCTCATTCACCCAGCAAAAAAATCACCTATACCGGTTAGTGAGAATTAAAGGAAAATATAAATGGGTTAATACTATATGTGAGCAGTATATGTCCACTGTATACCTATTTTAAAGAGTGTTGTAGAAATATCTTTAAAAAGTATTAGTGGAATGGTTTATGCACCTGCYTCATTATTAAACAGCACAAGACCAAATATGAGATTGTTGTTCCTTATCTAACCTTTTTGTTTAACTCCACACTCCACTGTTTTAAAACCACTCACCAAATGGCAAAATTCTAAAATTCTGTATAGTCTTCCCATTACTTTTAACATCATATCCCAGATTTAGAGGGCATCRTTTACAGCAATGCCAGACTGCCACTGTATAAAAGTGGTAACTAAAGAGACTATTAAAAGAGCATTTTCAAGAATGCCTTGGTTACAAAAATTCTGCAGCAGCCATCTGACATAAAGCAGAAAAACCTGATCTTTTCTATGACAGAAAAAAAGTGGGATTCAACAGATTTGGCAGTGCTCGCTTTTGGGAGTTACCAAACKCCAAACACAACACAATCCTTTGATGCAAGCTGTCTTCCTTCCACCGTTTCATCTTCCAGTCTTCTTTTAACAAGTTTTCTTGATCYCTTCTTACACTAGACAATTTACACTAAAGCAGAGCAGATGTTTTTTTAAAAGGCAAGTTTATGGCTAGGTTACATTATATTGGTGGRTACACAAATAATGTTTTTGAGATCATGGCTTAGTGACTGAATTTATTCAGTTGAAGCCTGTACAGCTGCAGAGTTTTGCTTCCACTGCTCCCCCAAAGTCATCACCACTGAGGAAAWGACCTCAGCTAAGCCAGCTCCCACATGAGCACACAGCCTCAAGAGCTAAGCATGAGGACAAGGAAAGAAATGATTGATCAACTCATCTTAAAAGCTGACCAAGGTGTGTGGATACCTGAGATACAGAGCACTAGTGCAACCTAAAAAGRGGAAGTTCCTAACATAGTCTCCTTGGAGTAACTACCATTTGAAACTTGAAAAAAACTCAAGCTGATTATCACTTGATGTCTGTGAGCTTATCCCTTCTGCTTGCAAGACACAGTCCAAAATCAGCCTTATGTTAAATTCAGCAGAACCCCTGCTACAATAACACTGCTATAAATGTCAAATACACGATAAAGAGGGGGCAAATCCAATTCATAACAGATTTCTGACAAAAGGCCTAGTAAGAACTGGTGGGCTGTTAGTGCAGTATTTTTTTGCCTGGTACTGCTATGGCACCTGGCTTCTTCAGCAAGGAGCGTGAACTAATTACAGCTAGCAATTTGGCATATGAGAYTAGAGCTTCCCCAAATCACCATTCACACATTAATTCACTATCACATAGAAATGGAAAATCCTCAGTGCCACAAGAGCAGCCATGCCTTCCTCCTGGCTTACCTCAGCAATAGTGGACTTGCAGACTTCTCTGGCCACGGATTCAAACTTTGGATCTGTAGTCAGGTTCAGCTTGTAGTTCCACAAGAGCTGTAGAGAAAGCATTTGTAGAAAGAGGGTTTAAGAGCTTTCTGTGGAGAATTACAAACATTTTGCTTCAGAAAACAATGAAGCATGATTTATACCCAATCTGTATCATCATCCTTTTACAGTGCAATGATCAATTAAAAAGTCTCCTTGACAACAACTTTGTCCCTTCAATTCTGCAATAATTTTCTCATACTGAAAAAACTCAGGCTGTCAGAAATCTCTTTGCAAGGTCATGAGCTGACTCATTAAAAGCAAATATAACAAATTAATAATATTTCATAACTGAAAGGATAAAACAATGAAAGCTTTAACTTGCTACCTACTGAATATTTAGCAGCACTGTTAGCACACCACACCTTTCTGTGCCATGGTGTGTCTGCCTGATGCAAGTGATCTGAACAAATTAAACCCCCAATATGAGCAGATTCCATGCTGAAAACCTTATAAAAAACTAGTAAAAAAAAGAAAGGAAACAAAGCAGCTTGATCCTTCTGTGAGGGCTGCGACCAGACAAGCTTTTGGATGCAGATACATTTCAAACCTATAGGAGGTTCTCTTTTGCTAAGCAAAATTATACATTAGAGCTTAGACTGCAGAATGCCTCTGTAAGGATGACTGTTCTTCCAGGAGCCAGCAATGAGCTCATGAAGGAGCCTCAATGCACAGGGTCATTGTGCAAGAATCAGTCTTGGGCAAGTCACACCCTGCAGACATATATAAACCTCCCAGATGTCTTCCTGAGGCACAATAAAGTGAAAATACAGGATAGGGTCGCAAAACCTCAGCAAATTAATAGCTGAAATCTTGCCTGATTGTTCTATTAGCTCATCTGTTTTTCTAGGAACTTAAGTTGCATTCAAACATTTTTCATTAGCTTAAAATATTAACGAGTTTTAAAGATCCATTTTAGAAACACTGCCTTTGTGAAAAATGAGTATCAAAAAGAAAAAAAAAATGGTTAAACTTTTATTTTGATCTTTCAATTGTAAGAAAAACACTGGGAAAACATAATCACATGCTCTGCACCAGGAAGGCAGTCTCACATCCACTCCAGGAGGGTGGAAGCACAGAACCAAAATCAGAATCAGCAAAACTGTACCACCTTCCACATCTCATATGGTTTTGGAGCTGTGAAAAGTTAAAAAAGAAGGTGATGGGAAACTAGGGTGTTACAGATTGAGTAAAAGGTAAACATAAAGGTTTAATAGACCAAAGTGAATGAACAGGGAACCCTGTCCTTACAAAGAGTGCTATAAGGTCGCTCCCAGCCAGAACTGAAGTACAAGAATAAGGACACAAGATCAGAATACATCACTGCATTTGTACTTTCACACTTTGGAGAGTATTGAAATCAGATGCTCTSCAAACGAACCTTCCCACAAACAGAAAGAAGGTTAAACCTGCAGTTTATTAGCACTAGGCAGTATTTTTCAGGGGATGATAAGTAATTGTTCTGCACAGAAATCGAAGAGAAAGACAAAGAAAACATTTGGAAATGAGAAAACATCTCTGTGGCCTAGCTTTTTATCACTGCCCCACAATTTCTGCCTGGGAAAACAAGACTTTGCCCACACTTCCTATTTGTGAATGGCTTCCACAATCCATATCCACCTAACACCTGTCTTGAAGCAAAGATGCCATCACTTAATCCAGCAGAAGAAGGGTCCAACTTTGATTTCTAGAATTCTCAATTYCTTCTGCATTCAGGTAGTTTTGCTGGCACATTTAAATGTCAGGCAGATACATTTTAATTATGGAGTTTTCTCCTTTTCAAAAAGACTTGAACAGAAATATGTTGTGCCCTTCATCTGATCCAACCCTGCACAACAGAGAATTACAGCTGCCAACGAAGTCAGCCAGTGCTAAAGGTTAATTTATAAACACAGTTGGAAATCACTAGTTGTACAGCATGGCCAGGTTTCATCTCTGGAATACATCTTCCAATAATAAAGCAAAATACAGCTTCYCAAGCATCCAAAATCAAGACTGTCATTGAGGCATGCACTTGTCTGTCTGTGTTCAGGGCTAACCAAGCAATTAAGGATCTTGATATGGTGTACACTGACAGAATACAAATGAGAAAAAACTAAAGGAAACCTACTACCAACCTTAGCAAAGACTTTTTTTTCATTTTTTTGAGAGTCTTGGGATTTGAAGAGTCAGCTTGACAGCCCAAAAACTGGCTAATAGTTTGCTCACTGTTCAACACAGTGCTGAGAGGAGATCTGTTCTAAAACCAGCCAAGTGTCTCAAACTGCCTCWAAATATCACACCCCCACAGCATTTTCCAAGCGAATCTAAGAATTTAGCAGCTGTGAAAGTAATACAGGAGGTGTCAACAGCTGAAATTAAGAGTTTAAATTCAGTACTGCTCACATCTTTCCCAAAAGGAACACATCACATTGCTCCCAGTAACTCACGGGAACCAYCCCCCAATTATAAAACAGGAAAGACGTCTGCTATCCTCCTCTGATACAGAAGTACCRTTTATAAAGCTCTCAAAAATGTTCTACTCTGAAGTCTCCAGTAAGACCAGAGTGGTTAYACTGGGTTAAAGAAGTCACCTTGTGTTCTTCCTCCAAAGGCCAGTACAGAAACCCAAATGTGTCTTGATTAATAGCCTTTGCAAGGTACCAAACTATGCAAAATACCTCAGGTTCACAAGGGATAGGAGGTGCAAATGCCATAGCTATAGACTGAATAAACAAAGCAATACTTACATGATTGCAGTCTGAAGAGATTTCATTATCTGGCTGAAAGGAGAAAAAAAAGGAGTGTCAGTTCACTACTGATGTGATGCATTTAACRGAGAAGAGTCTAAACTTGTGAAACTAAAAAACTGTCACCTCTTTTCCACTGTAATAAACAAGTTGACACAATTGACAGAAAATTTTAACATCTGCATCACAAGAGTGATGATACCTAATTACCGAAAAAATGAAACAGGCACTTTAGACACTACGCTGTATTAACTTGAAAGAACAAGCAGCAGAAGAGTAGCAGAATTTATGCAGACACTGCAAAAACGTAAGGAATGCACTGGCATTGCCACAATTGACCMAACCCAGAGGGCAAAAAAGCACCTGTGGGAAAACAAAAACATATGAGCATAGTTAAAAAAAAAAATTAGTCTGGTGCACACAACTGAAGGAGAAAGGTAGGACTCACTCCCCTCCTCCAGACTGAAATGTTCATATTCCCCATTTGAAAAGTAACATCATTTCTTTCAGCTGTACATAAAAGGGCTGGTTCAAAGCAGCCCCAAGATTTATAGCTTCAACTGTGAGAAACTGGTGACATCCAATATTCATACATCATTTCAAAATATTCACTATATTCTCCTGGGGAGTTCTTTTGAAAAGAACTCTGAGTGCAAACCAACCCATTCTYCTTTCAGCCTGAGTAGTTCTCACAATGAAGAGTTCCTTGAAAAAAGTTAATCATACAAATCCCTGTCTCCTCTCCACAGCAGAACAGCACAAAGACAGGACAAAATCACCTGGCTGTCACACGCACAGAAGTCAACCCTGACTCTCAGTCTCTGCTTCTACTGATACTTAAGATGCCAGACACACTTTAAGAGCCACAGAACACAAAACCACTCTAAGCTTAAACACATCATTGACACAAAGATGTTAGACCTCAGGGATCAGGGATAAGAGAACCAGCAGTCAGTAGATTTGGAGGCAAGCAGAGCTTTTCAGTGCATTTGCTGCTGCACGATCTGCTACACCAACACTTGTACCATTGGTGCTTTGGGAAACATGAACACAAGTTTATGAGGAAAAAAAGCAAGCCTGGAAAACGTTTCCAAGTTCTTAATTACAGCCATTATTAACTAAAGCACTTTTATTTTTTTATAGCAGCAAGTGGCAGAAATCACGTCTCCACTTTGAACATAAAAAATGGTACCTGAAGGATTCCAGTAATTAATTGCAGTCTGGTCAGACTGACACGATCTAAAACTGTATCTCCCAAAGCAATAATAAATTTGAAAATTTGGATATCAACTATTTTTTAAAGTCTAGCAGATGTCTGCTGGTTATCCTCAGACTGCAGAACTGATTCTTTCRACTGAAAACTAAGATGCCACCCAAATTGCTCTATTTTACAGCAGCCTCTTAGACCAGCACTATTGTGACTKACAAGGCACACTTGTCTTAATTTCCTGCACTCATCCTGCATCCTTCAGAAACAGATGAAGGTTTTAGAMTAATTTCAAAAGCTGGGAGGTAGTGTGACCACCACAGAAATTGCTGTCTCAATCTTTTAGTCAAGATAGTTTCYTTATAAAAATATATAGGCTAGCACTGGCATTCTCCTGTAGAGGATAGGACTTACTAACACATTTGAAGGCAGAAGAATTTTTAAGGGTCAGAGAACACGCCCACAAAATCCTTAAGGGACACTTCAATTTTATTTTTGCACCCTCCAACCTGGTAACCTTTGCTTCAGAGCCACCAAAGATTAAAGCTCAGGTTTTTTTTCTGGAAAGATGACATACTGGTTCTCACTGACCTGGGAAGCTTAAACAAGCTTTTCTTGAAATACACAACAATAAAATGTTACACATTGAAATACCAGCTTTTCCTGCGCTTGGCAGCAAACCTCAGCTCTGTAAAATCAAAATCAAGCCTTMTTCTTCTGAGAAGAGTAATGGAACTTAAATGGGACCTTAACTAAGCTTTAGTAGTCCCTTCATTCACAGCTCAGTACTTAAAAATGCAAAGTCCAAGATCTAGCCAATAATCCTTTCCATGTAGAACAAGATGACCCCCTGCTAGCTAAGGCATGAACCTTCTTCCCTCTTACCACTGGAAGTGTTGGAGAGGTCGATTCACGCAACACTGACCTGCTTCTCCCTATTTCACTGAAGCAAGAGGRAAAAAACAATTCTTTTAGCTTCTGTCTGATAAAGTGAAGGGCTGAGTCTGAACAAGGGGGAAAAAAATCTCCCCAGTGCAACCCAAACCAGTTCTGCTTTGCTAAAGAGACAGCCTGTGGCCCCCTCTCCACTATTTCCACCCAAAAAACCTTAAAAATGAGCAATTTCAGAACAATATGCTTGTGCAGTAACGGTCATGAAAGAAAAGWAAGTTTCAAATTACCACTAAGGGAAGTTGAAGAGCAAGAAAAGCTGCATTGTGTCAGTCCCACATGGTGAGCTTGTGGAACACGGATGCTCAGAAAACCCCCAGGGCAAGGGGGGAAGAGAGCAGTCCAGACCTTCACCACATGCAAGTCAAGGCATTTYAGGAGAGAAAGCTGATGGCAAGGACATTCCACCGTTTATCAAGAGAAAAGGATCCCTATTACATCTCTGAACTGAAGGATTAAAAACAGCCTTTACAGAAAACGTGTGTGTTTCTGGGCTCACAGAAGCTTTTGCTGTTTAGCAGCTTCAGTGGGAATATATTGAGTCCCTTTACAGTTCTCTAAAAAAGTTCTCTCAACTCCTTCACGCACTAACACTCACATTCCAGAGTACTAACACCACTTCCTAACTCCCTGGGAAAGCAGAGTTCAGAACAAGTAAAAAAGAAAATAAGAAAACCTGAAYAGAAGAAGCATTTTCTTCCATACAACCACAAAATCAGCCACAAATCACACTGCATTAGTATTACGAACTCCACAGAAAAATTCAAAGGTTTGTGTKAAGTCCTATCACCACCAGACTGAAGTCATCAACACTGTTGTGTTTAAAAGTGCCTTTTTCCCATCCATCAGATCTCAGCTCTCTGAAATAAACCATGACAGTCATCCATCCCTTTCTAAATCCCTCAGCCGTATAAAACTAGGTCGAAACTCTACAGCAAGTGAGAAGCCCACCACCACCAACCAGGCCCAAAGGGGCACAAGGTGTTGGTGCTTTAGTGGCAGAAATGGACCCATCATCATGCTGGGAGCCCTATGAACAGCTGATAGTGACTGAACCAATGTCATGCATCACCACCCAGTGCACAGAACACTGCCTGGGGTGCAGTTACAGCCACTCCCTCAGTGACAGTCACAGCCCCTTCCAGATGGGCACACAAAACACWCTTGACTTAGTGTTAACTGCTTCACATCCTAAGGAAAAACAATTCACACCATGGGATTTTGAAAAGCAAGGTAAATATACTCTTCAGCTGGTGTGGATGAGAATGGTGAGGCTTGCTCCCAAAGAAGCTRTGGTTGACATATCCCAGCAAGTGCTCAAGGGCAGGTTGGAGGAGGCTTGGAGCAACCTGGTCTAGTGGAAGGCATCTCTTCCCATGGCAGGAGGTTGGAACGAGATGACCTTTAAGGTCCCTTTCAACCCAAACTATTCTAGAATTCTGTGAAAGTCAAGGTCTTGTGAAAACTCTCTGCAGGGATTATTTTAAATCTCTAGCATTAAGATTCCTCTCCTTCCTTGCAAAATTCATGCAAATGAAAGAGTCTGAGTTAACTRGCCAAGTGCCTCAATTCTCAGAATTTAATCCCTCCTGAGAGCAGAAGATGGGATGACAGCAGATATTTCCACTACTTTTATGAGGATGATGGCAAATATTTCCACTATTCTTTYAATGCAAGAGTAACAGTGAACTTGTTGGAAAGCAAGAACCAGGCAGACTTCAAATACTATGGAAAATCTTCAGACATTGAAGACAACACATTTTGGACCCASTCAGGCAAAAGCCATCGACAACCAACCCAGAGCAAAACAGCAAAACAAATAGGTAATCCGTTTGTGGATGGGAAGAACCCAGTGAATGACCCCTCCCTAAATTCAGGGAGAGGACAAGTCAATTAGGAAAAGATGTTAACAAAAGCAGCTACACTGTTATGAAAGAGAGTAGACAGAAGTGCAGCCTGCGGGTGGTCCCCAGTTTATTGCACTGTCACACAGAGCATGGTGCACACACAGCACAGGCAGCTCATGGTTTGTTTTTTTCACTTTGATCTAAACAAACACATTTACCACCAGTATCTGTACAGAAATGGTAGAGAAAGCCTGCTGACCTAGGAGCTTCTAAGGAGGAGGCCAGTAAGCTGATAAAGGGACAATCCCAGCTGTGWCCTTCCCACAGATAACAGCAATCTCTTCGCACCAAACACACCCAGCCATGACAGCAAACTCACAATAAAGTGATTTAATCCCCAGCAATCCAGCTAGCTAGACTTGAAGGACACCTGGAAACAGGCCAGACATAAGGTATGGGCCAAGGAGTCATCTATCTGGTGGAGCCACCYTCCTGCAAACCTGATCCCCTTCCAATGCAACCACTAGAAAAGATTCTGCAGAATTTCTGGAAACATGAGGAGATAGAGTAGTCTAGGCAAGAATCAACACAGCTTTTGTAAAAGAAAAACCACACATCACACAACCACCCATGCCTCAAACCTACTGAAACATCCTGGAGTTCTGAGCCAACAAGCATATGGCTACAGTAAATGGTTTTCACACATCCTGYAATCCTGAAAAAGTCATGTGTGAAAGGAAAGTTAAAACCAGTGATAATTTAAGTTCAAAACAGATGAGAAGATGTTGTAACTTAATTACACATTTAGTGAGCAATGGAAGTTAAACTTGTTAAGCCGAGCTTGAAATATTCTCTAATGCCAGTGAACTCTTGGTACTAAAAACAAACCCCATGTTGTCATGTCAGCAAAACCCCGCTATATTTACCATCCATGCTTTGAAAATAGCCAGTTTAAGCATGGTAACTGTGGATATATCATGCACCAAAGTTGCAAGCTCCTAGCTTCCACATACTTTGCTTATTTCAYA